ACCCACCTCGAGATATAAGTTCTAAGGTCTCAGTATAGTTACAACGGCTGCCCCACCCTTCAAACCGAAACGCATTACTGCTTCACGGCGGAAATAGGCGGGGCGGTGGTACGTACCCGTGCGGACTCCCAAGAGGTCCTACCACCAGTGAAACCTATTCGTACGCCTTTAATACGCATTGCCGTCAGTAAATGGCCATCGCCAATATGGTGCTTTAACACTCAAAAACACTGCTACATTGAAGATAGAGTGTTGATAGTATAGTACATTTGCACAGTTATATTTTCATGTCTAGCGGTGCGATGATGCCAGGGTTTTCCTAATTCGAAAGGTATAGATATTTTGAAACCCCAAGAAAATACTTAACATATTATTATGTGCCATATGTGCATGAGTTCCACGGTAACTAACATTACTTATGTGGCAACTATATGTAATATACTACAAAAATTTATGTAACTACATTGAGACTTAGAACTCATATCTCAAGGTGGGTGGCGGCATTTACGTCGTGGATGTCTATGAGCTCCGGTAACCACTTAATAAAAGGTGGGTTGTGAGCTCGTCCATCGACCTATGGAATAAATAGAGAAAAAAAAACAAAAAAAATCAACGCTACTCTTGAAAAAGACAAAGAAAAAAAAGTTGCATCACACAAAATTCTCACACTGATAAAACCACAAGTGAACCCCATTTTCGCAATGACTTTGTCAGAAAACGCGTATTTTATGGTAATAAAATACAGAAACTCGTTGCATTCTCTAGTATGAAATTTTCACTGAAATTTAAAGTTACCTATTCTGTTCTTGATGGTGTTTAGAATAAACGGTTTAAAACTTGCAGACTTTGAAAATTTTCTTAACATCTTTCATTTTGTTTCATCAATTTCACATTCAGATATTGTTGAAGAAGTTTATGCTTCAGAAGTTAACTGGTATGTTTAAATTACGTTAATCCTATACTGATATTGGATTTGTAGGCAGCGGTTTGGCTCTGCTGGCATTGCTGACGTCCATGAGCGACGGTGATCACTTTCCATCAGGTGGGCCGTATGCTCGTCTGCCTACACAGGCAATAAAAAAAAACTATGTAGAACAAGTGGTCTCATCGCTAAAATGATAACTTCAAGATAACGTTACAGGTATAGTGTACTATGACTGTACCTACCACTAATAAAGCATAATATATTTAATGGTGGTAAGACTTCTTCTGAGTCCGCGCACCACCCTGCCTATTTCTGCCGTGAAGCAGTAATGCGTTTCGGTTTGAAGGGTGGGGCAGACGTTGTAACTATACTTGAGACCTTAGAATCTATTTCGTTATATATCGTTCTCTCACTGCTGAGGATCTCGACCACATGTGACTTTCCTCCACAGTGTTCGGTCATGGGCAGCATGGATTGCATGTACAGACTACCACCTAGTGCTTCTCTTACTAGATCTGACCATCTGACTGGTGATTTGCTCAAGCTATAATTACTTGCTACTCTGCTTCAAGCTATCATTACTCATCAAAAATAACTAAACTGATAGAGCTATGGTGAAATTCTACACACAGTTTGTACCCTGGATGAGCACAAGGGATACTTTGTATCATGGCAAAACTTATGACCCGGACAACGTCAGGTATATCAGATATACAAAAATAGGCCAGTTTGTTGGCTGGTTTGTGATTTTATGGACCAATGGATATTTAAATCGAGAGAGTGACACAAGAAATATATTACGTGCTTTATACATAAGTTGAACGAGATATGAGACGAAATGAAAATTAGGTTGTTAAGAGAGTGTTAACTATGAATGTGGAAGGATTTAGAGGAAGAGGTAGACCTAAGAAGAAATGGATGGATTGTGTGAAAGACGATATGGGTAGGAGGGGAGTGAGCGAAGAAATGGTATATGATAGAAGGGTATGGAAGGAGAAAACATGTTGCGCCGACCCCAGGTGACTGGGAGAAGGGCAGGATAATGATGATGATACATAAGTTGAACGCTGATAGGCTTGGGGCTACGACTAGTACTTAGTTGTACAAAAATTTAAAATGATTAAAGTTTTTAAAATGCTACTAATATAGTTGTGATAGCTTCTTAAACTTAGGTTCACTTATATTTGTAGCGGGCGATATATATTTTACGTAGACCTTGAAAAGAGACAATTGAAAAATTTCGACTTTGTAGAGCATTATCTCTGTCGCACACTGCCTATGTGACCCTTGTCAATCGTTGTTCAATAGTGGTACGTGCGGTACTAATAGATACTGAGCTTTTAATCATTCGTGCGCATTTTGTGATGGGTAATATTTATCGCCGGGTACTGTATTCGTTTTGTAGTAAACCTGCCGACAGATTTTGTTATCATCTGTGATATAATCATATTATCTGGTCAGGGTATAATCAAACTGAGAATTCCTTTCCCGCCTCCCTTGAAGAAGCATACGTAGCGCTCAGGAAAAACCATAGGAAAAAATTAAGACCTTTGTAGGCCAGCATAGTTCGTTCAAGTGCCTCATTAAGGAGCAGTTTTTAAACAATTAGCTGTCAACCAGTTTAATTTGTGTTAGGGTAGATTCTGAAATTAGTATTTACTTCAATTACATATAGGTATTTATGTTTCATAGGTATTTTAAGTATGTTTTATATGTAAACTGCTTATTCTTATTTATGTGTAAAGAAGCAAAATTATTATTATTACGTTACAATATTGTGTATTTGTATGTATATTTATAAATTATATATTGATTGGTACACCGCGTGTAATTAACTTCCAAGCGATACTTTTCCACCTGATGGTTGTCTGGAAGAGATCGCTCTTAGCGATAAGACCTCCAATTGCACATTTTTTTGTATTTAATGTTTCGCATTGTTTCTTTTGTTGGTGTACAATAAAGAATACTCTCTCTCTCTATAGTCTGACAGAAATGGAATACAGCGTTGCCTATGTATTGTTGCGTAAATTCATTACCATTCAACTTCCAACTTAAAGTATTCATTAACAAAATTCATGCGACGTGCATCCAACAGACTCGGTGGATTGGTAGTTAGCATCCCTGACTTTTGCGCCGAGGGTCGTGTGTTCAATTCCCACATCAGGAAAAGATTCGTGGCATGAAAATTTTTGTTTGCTCTTTGTCTGGGTCTTTATTATCGATTTATCTATTTTTTTTTTATTTTTTTATTGCTTAGATGGATGGACGAGCTCACAGCCCACCTGGTGTTAAGTGGTTACTGGAGCCCATATACATCTATGACGTAAATGCGCCACCCACCTTGAGATATGAGTTCTAAAAGGTCTCAAATATAGTTACAACGGCTGCCCCGCCCTTCAAACCGAAACGCATTACTGCTTCACGGCAGAAATAGGCAGGGTGGTGGTACCTACCCGCGCGGACTCCCAAGAGGTCCTACCACCAGTGATGACGCAAGTTATAATTTTGCGGGCTTGGTTTTTATTACACGATGTTATTCCTTCACCGTGGAAGTCAATCGTGAACATTTGTTGAGCACGTATTTCATTAGCATGCTTGATACCCGCCTGCGGGATTCGAACACTGGTGCATCGCTACACACGAATGCACCGGACGTCTTATCCTTTAGGCCACGACGACTTCCTTTAAACGTGTGTATAATATATCATTCTCTGGTTCTCAGAGTACAGGGACCCCTAATTTGGGTCCGGATGATCGTGCGTGACTTATTCCCCATTGTTAGTCTCGTGGGCCAGGTCTGCATATTAATATTATTATTATTATTATGACTGAATTAAACTGCAAATTGAAGCCCATAAAAACAGTTCGCATATGTATACACTCACATATATATATTGATTTCGAACTGTTAATTTCTGCAACATTTCACGACTTGGTTACCATCGAAATGTGAAAATCACATTCTTCAGGCGATCGTTAAAAAGATGTTCATCTTGAAAGGGAAATTGTCCCTTGATACGACCTCTTCATTATTCAGAATGGCGGGCCACTTTACCAGCGGTTTCTGTATAAAGACTTCGGAGACATAATGGTCTTTATAAGTTGTCTTTACTATATATGAGTCGACTATTATCAAAGGCGGCAATCTGACTTTTGGACAATGATTGGTAAATCAGAAAAACGAATTAATGACTTTGTATTCCATTGGCAGTCACAAAACTCTTCGGAACGACATCTTAGATAAATAACAGGTTAACTATTAACCTTTATTTAATGCAGGTTTTGAACCGTATTCTTTGAAGGAGACGATTATATTCAAATAAATCTGTATTGACATATCAATAAAAATGTTTTGTCCAAATGCACAGATTGCCACCTTTGATAATAGACGACTCATATGTAGATATATATGTTTTACTTGTGTATTTACTGATGATCAAAGTAAACGTAGACGCTGCATTATCAAAGATAATTTGAGACATTATTGGTATTTGTGTGATTTCTGTTAGCGGTACATGTTGTGGTCCTAATCGGGATGGTTGTATGGAGCTCACGACTCGTCGAGTGTCAATTTGCTTCAGGGGTCTATGGACATCACTACGTGGTTGACAATACGCGTTACCACCAGTTTACTTTGATTACGTGTTTTATTTATATACACTACTTTTCAGACGCATTGCGTTTTTACTGGTGGTAGGACATCTTGTGAGTCCGCGCGGGTAGATACCACCACCCTGCCTATTTCTGCCGTGAAGCAGTAATGCGTTTCGGTTTGAAGGGCGGGGCAACCGTTGTAACTATACTTGAGACCTTTTAGAACTCATATCTCAAGGTGGGTGGCGCATTTACGCCGTATATGTCTATGGGCTCCAGTAACCACTTAACACTAGGTTTTTTTTTATTACTTTTGTAGGCAGACGAGCATACGGACCACCTGATGGTGAGTGGTTACCGTCGCCCATGGACTTCAGCAATACCAGGGCCAGAGCCAAGCCGCTGCCTACCAGGTGGGCTGTGAGCTCGTCCACCCATCAAAGCAATAAAAAACAATAAAAAGATGTAATCTCTTCACCAGGTCATCGAAGATTGGAAGTTCATGTCAATGGTGCTGGACCGCTTCTTTCTCTGGCTGTTCACCATAGCTTGTTTTGTGGGAACTTTTGGGATAATCTTCCAATCCCCGTCTCTATACGACACCAGAGTCCCTGTCGATCAGCAAATATCATCTATACCGATGAAGAAAAACAACTTTTTCTATCCTAAAGACATTGAAACTATTGGAATTATTAGTTGAATTCGAACGGAAGATATGTATTTCAGTCTATTGATTAAATAAAAAAGATGTGTGGTGTCGTGGGACACCCGATAGGAACGAAGTTCTTTATTATAAAAATATTAATTTTAAGTTCTATTCGAGGTATAAAGGAAATAAAACTGGAGGTTTCGCAACAACCCATTTATACACACACACTTCATTCACGGTTGTTTGCATAAGAGTCGAGGAGTCGTGGTCAATAATTATAAAAAAAATGTTATTTTTTGTACGTTATTACAAAGTTAAGTCGTACACTCTGTGCATTACTAATTTGTACGTTATTACAAAGTTAAGTCGTGCACTGTGTGCATTACTAATTACATTTATTAACGCTTACGTTACGGACGTTTTTTCTCGGTTAGGGTACCCCTCCGCATCGTCCCATAAGGAACTTCGTTCCAAAACTTGTAAAAAATTATTAAAAATTATTATTAAATTAATAAATATATAAAGAAAATAAATGATTTTGTAACGCATTCACGTAGAATAAAAAATCTTCGATAATCTATAGCGTTATATATAGATATAAAATAAAGTTTTGAAAAATTTAGAGATTTTTTCTACGTAAGTCTTTAGAAATTACATTAAAAAAGAAAAATATAAAAGCTTTGAGAAAATCGAAAACTAAAGCCATGAATATCGGTGATTCATTATATTATGTTATGAAAAAATCGTATTTCTTTAAAATATTATTGATATTGAAATTTGTTTAGACCATAGACAAAGGTCTATGGTCTAAACTTCAGTGGTTTAGACTAGCCTAATTGTCCGTTGTATATTATAATGTAAAACTGTTTAATTCACATCGAAAAAACTTTTTGTTTTTCCGTAGTTTAATTAAATCGCGACAAAGAATATTTAATATAATTAAAAGTTCTGCTCAATATGTTTTTATTTTAAATGTAGCATAATTCTTATGAGGATCGTTTCTCCATGGTTTTTGTTGTTGTTGTTTTAATGGTAGGACCTCTTAGGTGTCCGCACGGGTAGGTACCACCACCCCGCCTATTTCCGCCATGAAGCAGTAATACGTTTCGGTTTGAAGGGTAGGGCAGCCGTTGTAACTATACTGAGACCTTAGAACTTATATCTCGAGGTGGGTGGCGCATTTACGTTGTAGATGTCTATGGGCTCCAGTAACCACTTAACACCAGGTGGGCTGTGAGCTCGTCCATCCATGTAAGCAATAAAAAAAAAATCTGTATAATAGATTTCAATGTGTTTGTTAGGAGCGTATTGAGATAGGATAAGTAATTTAGATGATTTTTTTCATGTAAAGCCGCGAACGAATCAGAAGTCAATGAGTGGTTCGTTGTAAATAGTGTTGACAAAAAAATAATGAAATACAATATGATTAATGATAGCCATTGAAAAATTGTAACTTAATATAGTTAATATAAGTATAAGTATGTCATTGAAATATTAATAAGTTTACGTTCTGAATTTAGTGCAACTTGTTTTCAAGTATTATTTAATTATAAAAACTAGCAAATATAATTTGATGGCTGTGAACTGTTTGTTATTATGTTTTAAAATTTTATATTTGCTTTTAAGTAAAATAAAAAGGAAGGTAATTGAATAAATGAATTTATCTTGATAAATTAGCGTTAATAAAGAAATTTGAAGTTTACATTGGATTTTTATTTACAATATATCCCACAGTATATGTCTGCCAAGGATCGCTATAATGACCAGTCCTACACAGCAAGAACCCAGCGGATTTTAGCGACCATAATTTTTTTTTTTATTTTTTTTTTATTGCCTTTGTTGGCAGACGGGCATACGGCCCACCTGATGGTGAGTGGTTACCGTCGCCCATGGACTTCAGCAATGCCAGGGGCAGAGCCAAGCCGCTGCCTACGGTTTAATACTCTCCACAAGCCTCGTTTGAAGAAGGACATGTCATAGCGCTCGGGAAACACCGTGGAGGGGAGCTCATTCCATAGCCGGATGGTACGTGGCAAAAAAGATCTCTGGAAATGCACTGTGGATGACCGCAGTGGCTCCAGGTAGTATGGATGAACTCTACTCCGGTGGCAGGCGGTGCGATGGTAAAAACGAGATGCTGGTATCATCTCGAACAATTCCTCAGAGCACTCCCCATGGAACATACGGTATAAAAATACAGAGGGAACCGAAGTCCCTCCGCAGACCCAGAGGCTCCAAAGTCTTAGGTCTTCGGTCAACCTTATGGGAGGCTCACCCACGCAACATCTTCGGGTGCGCGGTCGCCACTCGAGAACTTTTTGGCTATATCGTACAGCATAATACAAGACAAAGAATAGTGCCCTAGAAACTGAATCCAGAACTGAATATATTATTAATAATCTTCTAATCATTACGAACCAAATTGCATTAAACTTAATTCATTTAATTACCTAGCATCAGCAATTTTTTTTGCTTATAATTATAATAGATTATACAACGTATATAGTCACATTCGGATATCACCAGATATTGTCTACCAAGAGCATAATAAAGGTAATTCTCAGCAGAGTCATCCAACAATAGAACATTACGATACACGCATAGAATTTACACAAAGTAACTCGTGAGTTCGTCATTCTATCTAAAGCAGTCAAAGTGGAGGTAACAAATAAAGAATTAATGTTGTAGGTACTTTGTTTAATGCCATAGTCAATATTACATTTTACTTCATGAATGTATTTCCACGAGTCTAGTGATCATGTCAAAGAGACTGAGGGGGCAGTCGTCCAGATATCTGTCGCAGTCACCTCTCTGACCGGCTGCTTCGGCTTCATAGTACACGTCGTCTAGACCTTCATCTTTCGATGCTGATGGCCTGGAATTGAGAGTATGTCATCCGTAATTTGCGTAATTACTGGTGGTAGGATCTTTTGTGAGTCCGCACGGATAGGTACCACCACCCTGCCTATTTCTGCCGTGAAGCAGTAATGTGTTTCGGTTTGAAGGGTGGGGCAGCCGTTGTAACTATACTTGAGACCTTGGAACTTATATCTCAAGGTGGGTGGCGTATTTACGTTGTAGATGTCTATGGGCTCCAGTAACCACTTAACACCAGGTGGGCTGTGAGCTCGTCCACCCATCTAATCAATAAAAAATAAAAATAAAACGACTTGTAGTGGGGTAGCTATCAAAGAACAGAAGATATTTGGCAGATGCCCGTATCTCATTTTGAGGGAATCGTTCACCGAGTTAGAGAATTTGCTCGATAGACCGAAACATTCCGAATGTTGTAGTTCAGAACTTGTATATAAACAAAGATATTTTGAAAATGTTGCTAGTGAGATTCAGACATTAAGAATCTGCTCCAGGATAGCTACCCGTTGCAAAATTAACATCAGCGAATAGAAATGTATGATTTCAAAACTCATTCATTTTTTTAAATAATTGCACATATAACCAAGATTTATTTAAACTAAAAATTAAATGTACCTTATTGAATTCGAATTATTCTCTAGATAAAAAATACTACTCACGTAAACACAATATGCATAATGTGCCCTAATAATCCATTATGATGCAGAGGAGTTTCAGCGGCTTCGCATATGTTTCTCAGCATGCATTCCCTGCCGTTCATACCGTGTCTGAAACGGTAAGAAATAAATCGGTTAAACTGTGATTAATCTATGATTAGTATCAAGTTCTTCATTCATTTAAGCCATTAATAAATTAGCTTTCGATGTCAGGTTTCCAAGTAGATTGCGGCATTCGCAATATCTTTACGAGTACGCTCCTAGAAATAAGAAACAGTCCTCATATACTATCGCTGAACTTGAGACAACTTAACAACGTGGTAGGACTTCTTTTACTGGTGGTAGTACCTCTTGTGAGTCCGCACGGGTAGGTCCCAAAACCTCGTCTCTTTCTGCCGTGAAGCAGTAATGCGTTTCGGTTTGAAAGGGTAGGGCAGCCGTTGTAACTATACTGAGACCTTAGAGCTTATATCTCAAAGTGGGTGGTGCATTTACGTTGTAGATGTCTATGGGCTCCAGAAACCACTTAATACCAGGTAGGCTCGTCTACCTATCTAAGCAATAAAAAAAAAAGGAAATCAAAATTTCACTTTTGAATTCACACTTTCCCGATTTATTATACGTATGTAACATCACATACCCTACGAAAAGATAAAACAAAGAGGTAAATACAAATATGAACAAAACATAATATCTACGCTTCTCAAATTATATCTACCTTGCTCCTTGCAATAGTGATGTTTCAAAGTTAGCTTTGGTCAATTCATTATTCACTTACTCTTTGAATCTAGTTTCCAGAACGGTGTATGCGAGTTCTCTTGTGACACTACGACTCTGTCTCGAACTCACCACCTTAAATGGGTACAATTATGTATTAATTGCCTTTCTGTGTAATTGTCACGATTTAGTGCATAATAAATATAGACATTGAAAACTTCAGCCTCTCATCTTCTGTAAGAAACAGTCCTCATATACTATCGCTGAACTTGAGACAACTTAACAACGTGGTAGGTCATCTTTTACTGGTGGTAGTACCTCTTGTGAGTCCGCACGGGTAAGTACCACCGCCCCGCCTATTTCTGCCATGAAGCAGTAATGCGTTTCGGTTTGAAGGGTGGGACAGCCGTTGTAACTATACTGAGACCTTAGAACTTATATCTCAAGGTGTTTGGCGCACGTTGTAGATGTCTATGGGTTCCAGTAACCACTTAACACCAAGTGGGCTGTGAGCTCGTCCACACATCTAGGCAAAAAAAAACATTACGGTATTTGGGTAAAAAAAATGTACTTACCGGTAAATTAGGGAATAACACTTCATCTATTTCCGTGATGTTCGTTAAAACGCTGTAATTCGATTCAAAGTTGTAAGAGACAAACACGTTTTTGTCTGGAATGTCAATGGGGACGGCTATCGCGAGGAACGTCTGAAAACAAAAAAAAACAAAATACGTAGAACAGAGTGCTCGAGGACAACCTCAGAATAGGTAGGTAGGTAGCGGTTTGGCTCTGCCTCTGGCATTGCTGAAGTCCATGGGTGACGGTGAACATTCACCATTAAGTGTGCCATATGCTCGTCTGCCTACAAGGGCAAAAAAAAAATATCCAATATTTCTGCCATCAAAATTTTCTATTTATTTATTAGAACTTATCTCCACAACGCCTCAACATATGCCACAGAGATCTTCGTTGGAAGGTATGAAGGCTATTCATCTCAGAAATATTATATTTAGGTTTCCTGGCGTAAATAATGAGCTCCTTAGAAAGTGGCATACCTAGATATGGTAATACACGATAATGATAAAAAAAGTTATAATCCTAGCGAAAGTTTGTAGATGGATCTATTTCTCATGCAGCAACATAGCAATGGATATTTGTAGAAACAGATTATAGGACATATAGTTACGAAAAATTTGATTTTACGTGTGTATTTTTTATCATAAAATTTACGTATCATTGTTTTTGTACTACAAATGAACTCGGGGAAGCCTTGGCAACTATAAATTAGGTTAATAAGTAAGTAATACGGCTAGTAATAAGTAGAATGGCTAAAAAGATAAAAAGAATAGTTTAAGCATTTTTCGCTTACCCCGTAAAGACTCGTTGGAGGAAATACCAAGGATCTTTTTTGTTTCGTACTAGCGAAGGAATACGTGATTAAAAAGCTCCTGTTGAAAAAACACACATTAATTTATTTGAAAAAAAATTAGATAGGCAAATACCACATTTACCAAGCCAAGATTGACTATGAATACAAGACAATAACAAATATTGCAAGACAGAGAAATATTTTCAAAGCTAGTAATAAAACTTTCACCCCAATAGTGGTTAGGGTTGCAAGCCATTATACCGTCGTAGCCATCATCACATGAGCAGATAATTTGACGGCCACTAACAACAGAATTGTCACCTATAACTTGTTACAAATCTTAAAGCTTTAATTCAATAGTTTTAAATGCTCTTTGAACAATNGGACCCAGTCAAAGCCTATATTCCAAAGGAGTGGACCCAGTACCGACCCTTGTGGAACCCCACGCGACACTGTTTTTCGTCCCCACCCACTCCGCTCGGGGAAGATCACCGCCCGCCCTGAGAGATAATCCTCAATCAAATTACGGAGACCGGTGGGGACGCGGTGAAACCGTAATGACTCCACGATCGTGCTCCAGGGTATCGTGTTGAAAGCGTTGGCAATATCAATCGATACAGCCAACAGTACACCTCCCCCAGAGCACGCCTGTAAGCACGTTGTAACTATACTGAGACCTTAGAACTTATATCTCAAGGTGTGTGGCGCATTTACGTTGTCTATGGGTTCCAGTAACCACTTAACACCAGGTGGGCTGTGAGCTCGTCAACACAGATAGGCAAAAAAAATAATTACGGTATTTGGGTAAAAAAATGTACTTACCGGTAAATTAGGGAATAGCACTTCATCTATCTCCGTGATGTTAGTTAAAACGCTGTAATTCGATTCAAAGTTGTAAGAGACAAACACGTTTTTGTCTGGAATGTCGATGGGAACGGCTATCGCGAGGAACGTCTGAAAAAAAAAAACAAAATACGTAAAACAGAGTGATCGAGGACAACCTCAGAATAGATAGGCAGGCAGCGGTTTGGCTCTGCCTTTCGCGTTGCTGAAGTCCATGGGCGACGGTAAACACTCACCGTCAGGTGGGCCATATGCTCGTCTGTCTACAAGGGCAATAAAAAAATAAAAATAAATATATCCAATATTTCGGCCATGAAAATTTTATATTTATTTATAAGAACTTATCTCCACAACGCCTCAACATATGCCACAGAGCTCTTCGTCGAAAGAGATGAAGGGTATTTATTAATCTCAGAAATATTATATTTATGTTTCCTGGCGTAAATAATGAGCTGAAAGTTGCATATTATGGTAATAGGAGATAATGATAAAAAAAAGTTATAATCCTAGCGAAAGTTTGTAGATGGATCTATTTCTCATGCAGCAACATAGCAATTGATATTTTTAGAAACAGATTATAGGATAGATAGTTACGTAAATTTGATATTACATGTGTATTTTTTATCATTAAATTTACGTATCATTGATTTTGTATTACAAATTAACACGGGGAAGCCGTGGCAACTATAAATTAGGTTAATAAGTAAGTAATACGGCTAGTAATAAGTAGAATGGCTAAAAATATTAAAAAAATAGTTTAAGCATTTTTCGCTTACCCCGTAAAGACTCGTTGGAGGAAATACCAACGATCTTTTTTGTTTCGTAATAGCGAAGGAATACGTGATTAAAAAGCTCCTGTTGAAAAAAAAAAATTATTAAAAAAAAATTAGATAGGCAAATACCACATTTACCAAGCCAAGATTGTCTATGAATACAAGACAATAACAAATATTGCAAGACAGAGAAATATTTTCAAAGCTAGTAATAAAACTTTCACCCCAATAGTGGTTAGGGTTGCAAGCCATTATACCGTCGTAGCCATCATCACATGAGCAGATAATTTGACGGCCACTAACAACAGAATTGTCACCTATAACTTGTTACAAATCTTAAAGCTTTAATTCAATAGTTTTAAATGCTCTTTGAACAATAACGAAACTTAACCTATATATGGTTATAAATAAATTTCTTTGTCATTAGGAACAAATACAGCAAATAGTTTCAACAAAAAACATCAACAAGTAAATATAAACACTGATTAAATTGTATAAAAAATTATATAAAAATAGACGAAAAAAAACCATAAATAAAATCATATTTTATATTGACGAGATTTCTTTTCATTACGGATGCCTCGTCATTTTCAATACATTCATGTTTTAAAAAAAAAAAAACGATTCGTGCTAAAAACATAAAGCCCAAACCCAAAACACGAGTACTAGAACCATTTCACCAAAGAAATATACTCACATGGAAAACAATATCTTGATGCACTGCATTTTCACTGAACAATATAGAGCTGGCAAACATCGATTGTGTTTGTACACTTTGACTGACTTTACGAAGGCTGACCCGACTCCCCTGACTCGGTGTAGTACTGTACAAAATTATCGGTTACACGCTAAATTTATGTGCGACTGTATTTCTTAGCGGAGACTAATAGACGCATAGCCACCTATTACTGGTGCGAAGCACTCTACTTTTTATTAAGTGTAAGAAAGCTGCGGTATGTTTGACGAGTGTATTTTTCATAAGCTAAGAATAGTAGGAAGAAAGTTAAGGAGTAAGAAGAAAGTAAGGAAGAGAGACCTTTCGTAAGAAAGTTAGGTTGATGTCTGCGTTATCGTAGAGTTTATTTGTGGTACATAATTTTAATATAAGATTTTTATGTCCTCCCAGTGGAATCAAATGTAATAGTGTGTGGAAATTTTTGTTAAAATCAATCAAGTAGGTATAGAGCTATGACATCACTATCATTATGTGCGAGAGAGACAGTGAGATGATTTAACGACGCTATCTCTGTTTATAATAGTCATTGCTGCGTTCTGTTATTACCAATTTCTGAGAAATGTTAGCGAAGCTGTTTCTTTTATGAAATTTTCGGTTGCATCCAACATTTCGTACTTTTTTTGCCGGGAAAGAGAATTTTTTCCCTATGAACATTTTGAATTTTCCGAAATTCATGACTGCTTAATGGGCTGGGTACCGTTGTACAATACCATTGAATTACGACATTATATCTCAAGTTGAGTGGCGATATTTACACCGTGATGTCCGACTTCGATAACCACTTAATATCTGCTGCACCGGAAGCTCGTTTGCCCATGTTAAATATGTAAAAATAAACAGTGAAGATAAAAACAGCAAAAGGTGCACTATTGATGGTCGTATACCTTATATTTGAACAACAGTTATGTGCGAACAAGCATGGCTACTGCGAAATGAGCTTTTTGAGGCGATAATTGTCCCAGAACAAATTGAAAGTGACCACATATATTACAGGTCACGAGCACTCATAAATCTGTTGTTAGATATAGTAGAGAAATTTTCCATTTATTTGTTAAACAAATATGCCTTTATCAATTTTTACATTCGCTAAAAACGAGTTTCAGAAAGAGATATTATAATAGATTTAAAATATTTCATTATACTAGTGGTCCCGCAGTAGTCGAAATTCGATTATAATTTATTGGAATTGTAAGTTTGTACATTATTATGATTGTATTTTCAACGCCAAGACTACACTATAGAAAAATATTAATAAAGACAAACAATATTTAATCTATTCTCAATTTGACCACAGACGTCAAGAACAAAAGTTTGACAATAAATAAATATATGCGTAATAAATGCGTTTGTGTGTCAAATACATGGTAGTGTGTGTAATGTTTTCTGTATTGATTTAATGTATCTTTTATGCATTATTTAAAAAAATATTACCAATGTGCACTTCTTCTCTATATTATCTATAAGTGTGGAAAATTTCATACTCCTCCGTCCGCGCAATTTACGTGAAAAGATATACAACGTTTTTGCTTCACGTATTAATATATAGATTTCTGAATATTAGTCATAAATCACTTAGAATTAGTAATTCAGTAGTAACTCCTAATAAGCAATTAAATAGTTAAATAAAATTTTAAATAGGATACTGCAAGTAATAAAATCTGTGTTGCAGTCAAATAAGGAATGAAACATGTTGCATTTTCCCTCTAGATTAGGCTGTGAAGCTCAGTGGTCTATAAACAACGAGTCGATTTGTAGATTCGTTTGTACGTAAAGTTATCAACTAGAGTATGCACTGTCGGCTTTATTATAACAGGCATACCCGGCGTTAACCATGTCGGGTAATATCATTTAAGGAGGTTAAAAAGTTTTCCATGTGTTAATCCGGCTTGTAAACTATTTATATACATATTGATATGCCGCTAAGAGTAAAGCCATCTATCGCCGAATAGTCGAACGAATATCGTAAGATCTAGTAGCACCTAGAATTATCGAGAACATTCTACGCATCTCTACTATTGTTTCCGCTGTCTAGCAATAGATGGCGTTGTACTTCTCGAGCGCTTTATTATATGCTCTCGTTGTACACAAGAGCATATTATTATTATAATAAATCGCTTAATTGCTATATCTCATTGCCTACAAAATACCCACTTAGTTTCTCGCTGGATTTTCTCACTGGGTCGTGTTTCCGATCCGGTGGTAGATTCTGCGAAGCATTGCGTTGTAGAGCCAGTGTTAGCAACACTCCCGGTTTGAGCCCCGTGAGCTCACCTACTCGCCCGGTTACGCTGATATAGCCTTTCAAGGCTATTATTAGTTTAGGTAGGAAAAAAAATATATACTACACTAAAACGTCAAAAACAACATAGGTTTTTTTTTGTGAATGTCGTCTTGTCGTTTTAGTTCAACATTTTCGTTCTAAAAGGTGGAATTTACACGACAATAAGGTCTTGCACATTACGGAGACTGTAGTGACGGAGGCTCTAGTGAATATTCTGTAAGTTAGGCGTATTTTGTGCCCGCATGTACTAGCTCTTATCTTACTAGGCCTCATCTCCCATGATGAGCACGTACACGTTTGTGTTTTCTATATGGACTCCAGTTCCCGTCATCGTTCTGGTCAAACCCATCGCTAGCGACGAAAGTCTCGGCGAGTAAATTAACCCACAGACACAGCCCACTGAGTTTCTCGCCGGATCTTCCCAGTGGGTCGCGTTTTCGATTCGGTGGTAGATTCTGCGAAGCACTGCTCTTGCTAGGGTTAGTGTTAGCAACGTCATCAGATTTAAGCCCCGTGAGCTCACCTAGTTGTTAGCTGAAATGGCCTCTTAAGGCTATCAGTTTTAGTTAGGAAATAAATAAATAAGACTGCAGTAATCAATGAACACCAAGCTGGTCTCAGAGTTTTCAAAAGCAACCCACCAAATAGAGGACTGGGGGAGATTTTAAAACCTAAAACCGATACGCTAATTAAACAGAGTCATGATTGCGAAGGCAGACAACCAATGAAATGAGCCGATGACTTGGTCAAAATAGCTGGCAGGCACTGTGGATGCGGACTGGATCGAAGCAAGAGGCCGAAAAGAATGGAGTGGATTTTAAGAGACCTATACTCAGCTTTGGGTGAACACGGGTCGAAGAAGATGATCCCGAAGAATGTATTAGACGTAGCTGGGCTACAACACAACTGCGTGAAGTCTGTTAAAGAAACTAAAAAAAGCGACAGGAATTATTTCATTGTGAATGTTCCACAAGCAGCCCTCTTATTCATTCGGGACATTTTCCTTCAGATGTCAAACGCAGCTCTGACCCCGCACCTTGTACCTTTATTTTCCTAATCCCTATTTATGTTACCTGAAAGATTTGTAGCGGAATTTGTTGATTTTTTAACAAGTATTTTTCGGTAAATTCTTCAGTATTTGGTCTTTATATTTGTAAATCTGTTAGGACCCAGGGATTGGAGACCTGGAGACTTGTTAGGAGTTTTTCGATATTTTATTGCATATATGGATGAATGAGCTCACAGCCCACCTGGTGTTAAGTGGTTACCGGAGCCCAAAGACATTACAACTTAAATGCCGCTAAGGAGCTTGAGATATGAGTTCTCAGTATTGTTACAACGGCTACCCCACCCTTCAAACCGAAACGCATTACTGCTTCACGGTAGAAATAGGCAGTGTGGTTGTACCTACCCGTGCGGGGTCATAAGACGCTCTACCTTTTTTTTTTTTTTTTATTGCCCTTGGAGACAGACGAGCACACGGCCCACCTGATGGTGAGTGGTTACCGTTGCCCATGGACTTCAGCAATGCTAGGTGCAGAGCCAAGCCGCTGCCTACCGCTTAATACTCTCCACAAGCCTCGTTTGAAGAAGGACATGTCATAGCGCTCGGGAAACACCGTGGAGGGGAGCTCATTCCATAGCCGGATGGTACGTGGCAAAAAAGATCTCTGGAAACGCACTGTGGATGACCGCAGTGGCTCCAGGTAGTACGGATGAACTCTACTCCGGTGGCGGGCGGTGCGATGGTAAAAACGTGATGCCGGTATCATCTCGAACAATTCCTCAGAGCACTCCCCATGGAACATACGGGAAACGAAGTCCCTCCGCAGACCCAGAGGTTCCAAACGTTCCGTGAGAATGGGATTATCGACAATCCGAACGGCCCTCCTCTGTATGGAGTCAAATGGAAGAAGCTGGTATTTGGGAGCTCCGGCTCAGAGATGGGAGCAGTACTCCACGCGAGGCCGGACTTGTGCTTTATAAAGCAGAAGCTTTTGTCCAGGCGTGAAGTACCGCTTCGCTCTGTTGAGGACTCCCAGCATTTTGGACGCCAACTACCTCCAATAATTATGCAAATTTTAATGTTTGCGGGTAAGATTTTTGTTACACCTTCCTTTTGTTATTCCTTCACCGAAAAGCCATTCGTGAACATGTGTAAGTAATTCATTAAGAGAAGTCGTATCTGCCCTTACTGGGATCCCACAAATTGGAATGCGAGACTACTTCGCGATAGAAAAACGTAAGTACATGCGGGCTTGTATGAATTTCAGCTAAATAAGTAACGTCAAGTCCAATCCATTGATATCAAAAATATTAACATAGAACTGGTGAAGGGAGATCACTGTCTTCACTGATTCTTCAATTTTTTCAGTATATTCACATTACATACTTGGCAAATTAGTATTGGAGCTATTGCCAGTACATGATTGTATCAGATAACAGCTGTAAACTAGTGAAGAAAGTTTTTTTTTTATTGCTATATGGGTGGACGAGCTCACAGCCCACCTTGTGTTAAGTGGTTACTGGAGCCCATAGACATCTACGACGTAAATGCGCCACCCACCTTGAGATATAAGTTCTAAGGTCTCAAATATAGTTACAACGGCTGCCCCACCCTTCAAACCGAAACGCATTACTGCTTCACGGCAGAAATAGGCAGGGCGGTGGTACCTACCCGCGCGGATTCGCAATAGGTTTTGTAAAACATTTTCTAGTATACATTTCTGACCTCATCTTTTTAGCAGAACGGACTATTCCGAAACACGCGTAGTAGGGTTCGATTATGCGCAGTCGATTGAAACGGTCAACAAACAATGAATTTTGTAATCACTAAAGAAATTATTAGTCAATGCGGTTCATCCAATCGAACGTAAAACGACTCATTAAAATAGTGCTGTGCAGTGCAATATCAATGGAAGTTAAAAACCTCGACATCGACAATATTATTCGCAGCGTTTTATGCAAAATGTCTGGTTTTTATAATGGTTTTGTTGATGTAAAATATTTTTTTTGCGGCTTACTTAAAAAGCTGTAAATTCGGCATCTATATACATAAAAATGAGTTGCTGTTCGTTAGTCTGGCTAAAACTCGAGAACGGCTGGACCGGTCTTGAATTATTTGTGGAAGTCCAGAGAAGGTTTAAAAGGTAGATAAATATGAAAATGCTCGGAATTAAATAAAAATAACAATTTTGTTTTCCTTTTGATGTGTCCCTCGTCGGACGGATTCCCTTTGTTTGTTTCAAGTTTATTTTATACAAAAGTTTAGGTCTTTTATTTATCGATTGAGGCACTACGAAGTCTACCGGGTCAGCTGGTTATCAATATAAAAAATTACCGGCTTACTTAAAAAGCTGTTAATTGAGCATTGTCAATATATAGGTATATTTTAAAAATTCAATGACCTGTCTTTGTCTTGTTTCGTATAATACAATGTACGATCAATAAGTTTTATTTTATACAAGGTGTTCCACACAAACCGTGTGTATATATGAATCTATAGGTATGTATGTAATATTGATTAGTTCTAATTGTATTTTTTTATTGGAATTAAGTTTCTTATGGGATGATGAGGAGGGGTACCCTAACCGGGAAAAACGTCCGTAACGTAAGATTTTTATTAGTAATGCACACAGTGTACGACTTAACTTTGTAATAACGTACAAAAAATTACATATTTTTTTATCATTCATTGACCACAATCTCAGAGCGTTCGCTTGCGCAATACACTAACTCTTATGCAAATAACCGTGAATCAAGTGTACCACAATAAGTTCGCACGTTACCGAATGACCGTGGGTTATTGCGAAACCTTCAGTTTTATTTTCTTTATACCTCGAATGGAACTTAAAATTAATATTTTTACAATAAGGAACTTCGTTCCTATCCGGTGTCCCACGACATCACACATCTTTTTTTTTATATACCTAATATACTTAGTCTGGCCATAAATACTGTTACAAAGGAAAAAAATAAAAATTCTATTGCAAATAACATTTATTACTTTTACAGTGTGTTAGTTTAATACATAAATATAAAACAATTTAAAGTATAAAAAGCTTATTCGAGTGGTCTCCATTGGCTGCAATACAGCCCTTTAAACGTTGAGACCAGTTATCAATAGAAGCACGCGCTCTTTCCATGGGAAAAATTTTCACTGCCAATCGTACGGATTGTTTTAGGGACTCCAAATTATCATGGCGCTTAGAGCAAGCCGTACTCTCTAAAACTGACCATAAACCATAATCCAGCGGATCAAGATCGGGACTAGACGATGGCCAGTCTTCAGCTCTGATGAAGTCCGAAACGTTCGTATCCAACCAAGACTGCGTAGACCGAGCTTTATGACCTGGCGCCGAGTTTTGCTGGAAGAGCCGTTCTTGATTATTGAACATGGTGTTGTTAAGGGGCTTCACTACCTTATCAAGATGGTATCTTGATACACTTGTGCCGATGTTTTGATACCTTTTTTACAAAAGTATGGCTCAGTCACTCCTTCATAGCTAATACCCCACCAAACCATAACTGAAGTCGGATATGCCCACGTTGCACTCTGTCGACTAATTGGGAAGCTTCCTTAGAGCTTTGAGCATAAATACGGTCATCTTGTTTGTTAAAATGTAAAAAATTTCTCATCCGTAAACAAAATTTTTCTATGACCTCCCTTTGTGTACCACTTCAGTAGTTGTTTCGATTTTACCACCCTATTCTCTTTTCAATTATCAGTTAAGAAATGACCAGTACGTCTCTTATAGGCTGCAAGTCCTAAATCATCTTTTAAAATACGCGACATGGTTCTAGGTGCTATCTTCATCTCCCGAGATAAAATCTTTTGCTTTCGGACAGGATTTCTTCGAATTCTTTCCCTTACTGCTTTGACCACCTATTTCATACGAACACTACGGGATGGCCAGATCTTTGTCTGTTACAAGCAGAGGAGGTCTCATTGCACCTATTAATAGCCCGATACACGAACATTTTACTAATACCAAGCGTATGGAGAGTTTTAAAAATTGCATTTGGCTCCATAACTACTTTATCACCCCACTCCATTTTAATATCGCAAAATATTGTACAATGTATTGGCGCCAAAATGAGAAAACTCAATGAGCAATCGTATAAAAATGACAGATTCCAAATTCAAATGTAATATTTTGTTTATTTTTAATTGTAACAGTATTTATGGCCAGACTAAGTATAAAGCTGCGATGTGTTGCTCTGTATAACAAGAAACGGCACTTAAAGTCTATTTAATTGTAATTTAGTTCCACAATTCTAACTATAAATTAATTTTATAACGCTTTTGATTTAACTTAAGGCATTTTTTTATCTCTGTCACCGCTGCATTCTCCGCATTTCACATTTCCTCTGTATTTTTTTCTCAGCAGTGCTACTGTTACTGAATTCAAATTAAAAAAAGTACACTTAATTAACATATTGTATAATAAATTGTATGCTTTAATACTTTTTAAACTATGATTGGCTAATCAATTAAACCTTTTGTGGTGTGGCCACCATGCAATGTTAATTAGTAGCAAGAAGATTTTACATGTGGTCACGACTAACTTCTACAATGAAGAAATAGAAATAATAACTTTATGGTTTTGATTTAAAAGTGAAAATATTTTTTGCGTATGTAAGAAGGCACCTAATAAATTGTATTGTGACTTGTGATGTCCGTGGACTCTTATAATCACTTAACATCTGCTAGAAAGTAAGATTATCTATCTTATTGAACTGGATAAAAAAAGGACAGTTTTATTCATTTCATATTTTATATAATGCATTTTTCGAAATTCATATCTCTAATTTATTCGAGTTCGTGGTTTTGTCATGTCTACATTATCAAAGTTGAGACAGACTGTTGTTGGCTCCGCAGATTGTTCACGGTTCATTCTGTGAATTAATTAACTTTCAGTTTAACTAGTAAACTTTAATTGTTCGGGGATGGCGCTCTGAAATTGTGAACAGTTGGCGTTTTCCAAATTGGACGTTGTCAACGATGGTTGACTTTAAAATGTGGTATAGCAGACAGATACTCTTACAATCAATCTTATCACCGCTACTGACGGACATCGACAATAGCCGGAGGACTCTTCTAATCTCTCTAAAGAATGACATAGACATAATTACTGGTGGTAGGACCTCTGTGAGTCCGCACGGGTAGGTGCCACCGCCATGCCTATTTCTGCCGTAATGCAGTAATTCGTTTCGGTTTGAAGGGTGGGGCAGCTGTTGTAACTATACTGAGACTTTAGAATTTATATCTCAAAGTGGGTGGCGCATTTACGTTGTAGATGTCTATGGGCTCCAGTAAGCACTTGACACCAGGTGGGCTGCGAGCTCGTCCACCCAGGTAAGCGATAAAAAAAAAAAACATAGCGTTGGTGCAAATAGTGTTCGAAAATAGCGGTTTATTTTAGACTCTAATGGTACCCAGTGCCCTGATCTTTTAGAACGCATCGTGGGCGAACGCAAATGTTCTAGGTAATATGGATGAATTGTTCTTTGGTCCCGGGTAGTGGAAGGAGGAAATGGTAGGACCTTCTTCTTCTCCATCGCTCCCTCATTACTGAGAATCGTGACTCCGTTTCAGCTTGTCCACTGCCAGCCTGCATCGGTTCCGATTAGTTGCCTGGTGTAGTGCAGCGCTAAGTGGTCCGCTGGTTTGCTCGGAGATCTGGTCGGACCAATGTTTGGGGCTCCGGCCTCTAGGATGTTTTCCTTCTACTTTTCCAGTGACCATCAGACGTTCCAAGTTGTCTACACCTCTGCGGGCAACATGGCCAAAGTAGCACCTTATGCGTTGCAGACAGGTGGTAGACAGGCGTTGAGTGCTCTCCATTTTAAGCTGTTGTAGGACGGAGATGTACGTGCGGTTGGCTGTCCATGGAAACTTAATAGGCGGCGCCAACACCAGGTTTCAAAAGCATCAACTCTGTTTCGATCAGCTGCTTTTCTGCTCCATCGAGAGTGATTGGAAATACCAGTCAGTGCACAAGATGTATTTTGGTCCTATTCGAAATATTACGATCATTCCAAACTTTGCTCAGCTGCGTCATAGCCGTTTTAGCCAATATAGGACCATATCATATCAAAATAAATCAACCAAATTTTAACACTATGCGGTACAATACAACGTGAATACTATCGACAAAAAAACCAGCATTTAAATAATTTGTATAATAACACATTTGGTTACGTCTCAATGTTTTATTTTCAAAAGCATGGTTCAATTACCAGAAAGTGTACATAGATGACATTTTAACAAATTCCAAAATACGCATTTTAATTTTTGCTTACAGCTAAATCGACTTACGAATAAAATTATTATATTAATCGGTCAATAAATGTCGTGATCACTTCTAAAGGACTAGATGGGCACGATTCCGCGTACTTTTTGCAACGATCATCCAAACCATAATATTCGGCTTCATAGTAACAGTCGGGTAGATTGTCTTCGGCCATAGATGTGGAAGGACTGTGAAATAGACCATTAGAAATGAGAACCATTGTATAGCTCACGACTATTTCGCGTTAGAAATAAGAATATGTCCTATTTAGTATTCATTTTGTGGTAGCGGGCACGTAGTCGATAAAGGTTTATTTTTCAGATGGTTGGACGAGATCACAGCCCACCTGGTGTTATGTGGTTACTGGAGCCCATAGACATCTACAACGTAAATGCGCCACCCACCTAGAGATATAAGTTCTAAGGTTTCAAGTATACCGCGGCTACCCTGCCCTTCAAACCGAAACGCATTACTGCTTCACGGCAGAAATAGGCAGGGTGGTGGTACCTATCCGTGCGGACTAACAAGAGGTCCTACCATCAGTAAAAATTACTGGTAGTAGTAAATATCTGCATTTATTTATTGTCTTTGTAGGCAGACGAGCAAATTGAACACCTCATGGTTATCATCGCTCATATCGCCAGCAATTTTAAGGGTATAGCCAAGTCACTGATCGTTGAGTACTCTGCGAAGGCTCGTTTGACTACCCAGTCACTGTTCGATTTTTCAATTATACGGAAAGAACTCACGTTAGTATCAAATGCAGTATATCTCCTAAAACACCGCTATGCAACAGATTGGAATTTCCGTTCTCACAAATGACCCTCAATAAGCACGCCCGTCCACTGTAGTCGTGTCTGCGAAATTAAATGGTCTTATAAACGGGTAGAGCTCAAGTTTGGGTAGCCATATATTAGTTTTATTATTACAATTTCTGAAATCGGTTCGAGGATTTATATTCTGTTCTGGTGTCACATGGATTAGTGTACATTTCTTGGTGTCTCATGTTAAACCACAATTATTAGATATACCTATTATATTCTATACGATTGATCTTAAAAGAGGTTAATTAATATGTTATAAAGATGACATAGATGGAATTTTGACTAATGAAACATTAGAAGAAGGAACATTAGAAATAATAAAGCATTTTTGAATATTGAAATAAAAAAAAACATAAAAAGTGGTGAAGCAATAGCTTTAAATGTTGTTTCTCTTTATATATCAACTCAATTTCTTCTATAGTTTTACTAAGCTAAACTGTATTTTGATTTGATAAAATAATACATTATATATATTTAAGAATAGATAAGTACCATTATCAAACACATTAAAAAAATTTTTTTTTATTATTATTGGTAGATATATGAGAAGATAGATTTAATGAATCTAAATTTTAAGATTTCAATTATATGGCCGTATTTCGTGCGTTGAACTAACACTCATTTAAAGATATAGATACCTATCGTAAAACTGGTTGTACAGATAATGCATTATGTTTTGCAATGTGTAAATTCGATTGAAATCAGACCGTATGCATCTAAACACTGGAGTGATTTCTCAAACTAAATAGATTTTAAAGAGATGGTCACTAATTGAGACTGGCAAGCCAATTTCACCTGTTCACCTGCCAAGTTCACCTGACAGTAAACCAATGCAGTAACTGTTGTTTTTAATGACTGTGGCAGTAAAACGACCAATTAATAATTCCACAATACTCACTGTTCCAGTATTCTTTCAATGAGGAAATAAAGTCTGCGCCTCGTGAAATCACTCATCAAATCGGCATTACGTTCGTTACGGCTCCTTGCAAGCTACAATTGATAAATTATTGTTTTTTATAAACTAATTCGGACACGTTTCGCGACGAGAAGGCCGGTCCATAGAACGCCTCGTTGTACAGGGAAGGGTTGATGGTACAAGACGGCGCGGGAGGTTACCAATGCGGTGGACCGACCAAATTAAAACTGCAGTGGTAGGTCCCCTAAATGAGTGCAGTAGAATGGCCTCGAGCAGGGAGAGATGGCGGGACATCGTGAGACGCATCAAGTCTGCCCCTTCCAACACTACATGACGATCACGACCACTCTGTCAAGAGAGACACGATTGAGAAGAAGGTAAACTGATACAGAAATCTCATTCGACGCTTCCAAGCAATGATTTTCGCCTGTATTAGAAACAATCATACCAGATACACTTAGCGAAGCACTGCTCTTGCTAGTGCTAGTTTTAGCGAATTCGCTTGGCTGAGTCCCAATGAACTCGCCTGAGCTTTTGGTGAAGCTATGTAGTATAATCCCTCGAGGCTACTAGCAAAGGTAGGTAAAAAAACCGATAGGACAAGAGCACCATCAAAAATCTAATTGAACTTCAGAAGGTGGGTGTTTATTGGTATGTTATTTGAAAATCCACAGATTTCTGCAGAATCAAATATTCCAGAGTGAATTATACGGTTTCGTTTTCGGCTATGACAAGGAGAGAGCGATAGAATGTCAAGAATTAAATTTGTTAGTTCTTGTCTTTCAACTTAATCTGTAGAAATTGTGATGCAATCCGGACTCATGCGGTTACTTTTATCAATAAAAGCTCTTTGTGATCAGTCTGTAGTGACCCTTGCTTGTTTTCGTAGTGCCGTATGCTGTAAGCCCTTAAGGCAAAACATCGTGGGTTGGATCCAGTTCAATTCTGTAGTGAAGCAATGAAACATTATAGACTTCCATTTTCGGTATGTGAATTAGCGAAAAGCTTACATTTATATCTCCTAAGAGTGGTTCGAAATAGGTGGAATTGTCGACATTGTAGTAATTAGCTTCGAAGAACCATGCGACGCTGACCGTTGTTTCCGGGTGAAGGGGTATTGACAGGGTAACGAAAACCTGAAATTATTTAAAACCATTTAATAAAAGCTCGTAGTAATAAAAGGGTCGTAGGCGTGTTCAACCATCCACAAAATACATAATTTGTGTTCCTATGGCTTAGCCTTGTCTTGATAGTCTTGATGTACTATTCCATCATTTATAAACTGTTACTGTTGCTTAAAAAACCTTATATCTAATTTCATTATGAAATTTATGAAATTACATTGAAATTCAAATGAAAAATAAAATTGGATGTAATCTGTTTTGAATTACCATTTTTTATCTATTTTTCCGCCCTCAAGCATCAGAGCAACAGTTATGATTCCGAGAATTTTATTTTCATCAACCGCATTGACGTGATCAACATTATAAGAGCGAACTGTATTTTTATATTATAAAGTAGTAATGAAAACATTTGTACTGTTCGTATATGTTGCGACCTGACACTGGTTACTGACAATTGACCACTGAACTATACAAAGCTTGTTGGGAGAATCGAATGCATGTCACAGCGCTGTGGCAATAACAAGAAAGATGGTTAATTCTTTAACCTATTAGTATGTTTGAGAAATGTTCTCCAGTAGCTCAATATGGATGGACGGATCGGTATTAGATAAAGGAGAGAAATTTTGCTTGAGTAGCGTGTAGTGCTTATGACTATCTCTGAGTGCTCAACAAATACGGTATTAAAGACAAAAAGAAGCAGAATCTCAACGTAGATTCGGTAGCTCCAAACGATCTGGAATTCTAAGTTAATAAACTAATTTCAAGTAATACTGCAATATCAATTAATACTGTGTTTAGGCTGATAATTAAAAACTTCTTTATTGCAAAGAAATATTTCAAATATAAAAATTGTAAAATTCAATTAAGATTTCGATCTTTAGTTGGGTTACGGTATTGAAATTGAGATGTTTATGGACTCCAGCAATAATGTAATAGTCGGAGAATCATAATCACGTTCACTCACTTTATTTAGTAAAACATTTAAAACAAAAAATGAGCCCAAAACCCACTTGCTATGAAATGCTTATTGGAATAAATAGCACAATGCGAAATATCACCTTAAGTCGTAGGGTCGAATTGCTTGTTGTATTAAAAGACGAGTGTTTCACCCTTTATATACGAAAGCATATTTTCTTGGCGACCACAATTTATTGATTTACTACTCAGAGAACGACGCTCCCATACTTCGGTGGTTCTCATAGTCATGTTCATGACACCAGCAAAACCAAACCACCAAAAATTACTATTTGATTGTGTCCATCTTCCAGGATAGACACAGCGGAAAAAAAACTTTATTGCTCTTGTAGGCGGATGAACATACGGCCCTCCTGATGTTGACTGGTTATCGTAGCCCATGGACGTCAGCAATGCCAGGGGCAGAGCCAAGCAGCTGCCTACTATTAAGTACTTTCCACAAGCCACGTTTGAACAAGAACACGACAGTATAGTTTAATATAATTTTTACCCCCCACTGAGTATCCTTCGTGAACAACAGATATCGCTTCTGTCTTCTATGTATCGCGTTGTGTCCGCATGCCAATAATAGGATCACCAAGCTGGAAGTAAAATATTGCGATAATGAAGAGGTGGGATCTATCTCTCGACACCGGCAGGACAGAGATATTTCTATATCTATACTAATATTATAAAGAGGAAAGATTTGTTTGTTTGTCTGTTTCGAATAGGCTCCGAAACTACTGGACCGATTTGAAAAATTCTTTTTCCATTAGAAGCCGACATTGTCCCTGATGAACATAGGTAGCCTATTTTTATTAAATTTTTTTTTTTTTTTTTGGTTGCATGTGGGTTTTAATGTTTCCGAAGCGATGCGAGGGCGGGTCGCTAGTATATAATATATGTATACATTTTGCAAAAATCGTTTTTATCCTAATTCGACTGAGGTTGTTTTCTTTTCTGGTTCACGCATATTTATTTCGTACCACCAGTTATTAGGTATATTAATAAATTTTGTGAGTTTGATTTTTATTACACGACATAAACCCGTTATATCTTCATCGTGAAAGTTGTTGGACATTATAGAAATGGTAACTCAATTATGTCATAGATCAAGCACCACCTATTTCTGCCGTGAAGCAGTAATGTGTTTCGGTTTGAAGGGTGGGGTAGTCGTTGTAACTAAACTGAGACCTTAGAACTAATATCTCAAGGTAGGTGGCGCATTTACGTTGTAGATGTCTATAGGGCTGCAGTAACCACTTAACACCAGGTGGGCTGTGAGCTCGTCCACCCATCTAAGCAATAAAAAAATATTATATAATACTTATAGTTAGGGTCGCTTAGACAAAGAAAATTATCAACGATCCCATCATATAAATCGATATTCAAGAGCATTCAAGCAAGAGTGGTACATATCGCATAAAGTAGTTCCAAAAAAAGAACAATCAAAAGGACAATTAAAAACCAACCAATAATTAATTAAAAAATTACATACCAAATAACACGAAAAACGGACATAACTTCACTTGTCTACATCATCACAGGATTGTGCATTCTGTACTGAATAAATTTAGGCTAAGCTGGCTCACGACTTCTCATCGTCCAAGTTTACTTATGTTATTAGTGAAATTATATTCAGAATTTAGGCTAATCTGTATTCAAAAGCTTTCGGATAACTGTATGATGTGAGATAACAAGAACAAGGATTAGTTGCATGGAAATTGGAAGAATAATCGAGATATTGGTGCATGGATTTGTGCTTTTCTTCCTCTAAGCGGTTAAACTAGCTCCCAGCCAACTATTAAGTGATTACCGATGCTCATAGATTTCGTTATGTCGTCGCGCACCATGAGATACTAGATTTTTTTATATTTATTTACTGCTTAGATGGGTAGATGAGTTCAAGGCCCACCTGGTGTTTTTTTTTATTGCCCTTGTTACAGACGAGCATACGCCCATCTGATGGTGAGTGGTTACCGTCGCCCATGGACATCAGCGATGCAAGGGGCAGAGCCACGCCGCTGCCTTCCGTTTAATACTCTCCACAAGCCTAGTTTGAAGAAGGACATTTCATAGCGCTCGGGAAACACTGTGGAGGAAAGCTCATTCCATAGCCGGATGATATTTGGCAAAAAAGACCTCTGGAAACGCTCTGTGGATGACCGCAGTGGCTCCAGGTAGTATGGATGAACTCTACTCCGGTGGCGGGCGGTGCGATGGTAAAAACGAGATGCCGGTATCATCTCGAAAAACTCCTCAGAGCGTGTTAAGTGGTTACTGGAGCCCATGAACATCTACAACGTAAATGCGCTACCAAACTTGAGATATAAGTTCTAAGGTCCCAGCATAGTTACAACGGCTGCCCTGCCCTTCAAACCGAAACGCTTACTGCTTCATGGCAGAAATAAGCAGGGTGGTGGTATCTACCCGTGCGGACTAGCAAGAGGTCCTACCAAGCCACTAGAGCGAATCTCGCAATCATTACTGACATTAGACCTACGAAAGTAAGCTGTATATGTCTGTTAAGATTTAGCGCCCAAACCAGTGATGCTATTTTGACGAAATTCGGTAGTTTGAAAAAGGATATAGGTCAAGGCCATATAGTTAGTATGGATATCCGTTCACATGATGTAAAGTGAATTTGTAGTAGGACGCACCATACGACCGTCGAGAAATAATTGATTGCGATTTAGATGTCTACCTCAAAGTGGGTGGCGTCACACTCCTCAATCTAAAACTAATGCAATTATAAATTTAATATCTGTTCACGCATCTGCAATGCTGAGGATGTCGATTCGTGAAATTATTGTATCTGTATTTTTTTATTAGCATTATTTATATTGGTATTATTGTATAAATTTTCGCGACTAATTATAATCGAGCTGTGTGTGACGCTAGAAACGTGTGCTGTTGCTATTATAGTAGAATTATTTTGTCGCTGCAGTTTGGGTCATAAAACATAGCCCGGCTAGGGCGGTGAGCATGTTGCGCGGGCGCAACGCCATTATCGATAAAAACAAATGAATCATCGAAACACGGCGGCGGGGTGCTATACGAAGGGTGGTGAGACATTGTTATGTTAGGAGTCATTTGTGGTTACCTGCAAGTTATAGTACATTATGTCGAAGAGAAATGTGTTTTTATGCATTCGTTCTCTGAATATCTTTAGTGACACAATGGCTACTCCTTTGTTTTGTATCAAAACGGCAGAATTTATTCAAAATAATATTTCCACGTGTTGTTATCAACAATGTGTTAAAAAATTTCACTGAAATAAGAATAAATCCCGAAAAGTTACAAAGTGTTAATTTCTGCCATTCTCGTTAACTTGCTGCGGCGATATGTGGTGTAAATGTTCGATTAGTGAGTTTTTCTTTCATTTTTATCACTAACCCACAAAATGACAAAACTAAATACACTATCGATAACGCTTATCGACAACAATAATGCGCTTCACTATGCCCGTCCATAAGGCTCGTGAGTGGAAGAGAGAGGGAAATACTCGCTTCACCGCTCCGATTTTTTATGACCCAAACTGCAGCGACAAAATAATTCTACTATAGTTAAGAATATTGTTCCCTGAGCCCACTATCCTATAAAACTGTAAGATTGCTAATTCAGAATACACACCTCAACTGGTATCTCAAAAAATAAAGATCTTTTAATTTAACTGAATATAGTTGTCAAGTCCAAAAGAAAATAAAAAGTCTAATACGGCATATTTATTGGCGCTACAATATCTTTTTTTTATAACAAACTATTGCCCTAATCTATATTTATAGAGAAATGTTTTAGGCCATACTTTGCGGTACTATCGCTCCGAAAATCTCTTCGCGAAATTTAGACCGTCGATTTTTTTTTCTTATCCTTTCTCGCATCCGGTAATAATTCAAAACGTTTTTAAAGTTCAATATCGCAATTACTATATCGAATTTAATATTTGAGTATCGAATACCACATATCGAAATAGCGTTCGTTCCATATGATTCGTTCAACACAGGTGTGGTATTCATTCAATTAATTAGTTTTGAAACCAATTTCGCGCGTTCTGCCTCGGTCAAACCCCGATTCCAAATCTGCGTGATATTATTGGATATTATAATAATTCAAAACTATAGGATATTGGCGATTTGTGTGTTTAATATAAAAGCTTAGTACTGTAAAATGTAGTTTGAAGTCGTCGTGGCTTAAAGGATAAGACGCCCGGTGCGTTCGTATTGAGCGATGCAGCCGTATCGGTGTTCGAATCCTATCAATTTTTCTAATGAAACACGTAGGTACTTGACATATCTTCACGATGAACTTCCACGGTGAAGGAATAAGAACGTTTAATGAAAAACAAACCTATTTCTGCCGTGAAGCAGTAGTGCGTTTCGATTTGAAGGGTGGGGCGGCCCTTGTATTGTAAAAAGCCTGACTTAGAACATATATTTTGAGGTGGGTGGCGGCGTTGACGTGGTTGTTGTGTATAGGTTTTGGTGGCCACTTCACGACAGGTAGGCCGTGAGCTCGTTCTTATCAATAAATAAATGAAAAACTAGTAGTATCAGAAGCCAAGCTATAAGACCTCAAGCGTTGCCATTGTTAATCTACCAACCGCCACGTTACATCGTGAAGACGAGTATCAAAATGCTAACGTATTTCACCAAATTTGGTAGCAGAACAGAAAGGGGATGGCCCATTTTAGGCCCAAAGCGGACAATAGATTATAGAAAAAATACTTAGTGCATTAATTTTGTCATAAATAAATATGCATTTACTTTCTTGCAAATAAGCGCCACTACAGTTTACAATAAGTAGCTTAAAAAAAGTAACTCTATTGAAAAAACAAGGATTTTTATTTTTGCGGGAAAAATATTGCCAGCTTCAAATCCTTTTACGTATGAAGTAAATATTTTGAGTATATAAATAAAACATATAAATAAATCATTTTAAGTATTATCATTAATCAATCGATTTTAATGGATTTTATGCACATAAAATAACATCGAAGACATACCCATTGGACTTTAACTTGTAACTATACTTGAGACCTTAGAACTTATATCTCANGAATATTGCTGATATTAACGAATCGGTACGATATGCCGATGCGCATCACATCGAGCAATATCGTGTATCGGCTGATATCGAAATATAGATTTCGATTCACGAATCGGTCCGATATGGCGATGCGCATCACATCGAGCAATATCGTGTATCGGCTGATATCGATATATAGATTTCGTGCGGGGCGATATCAGATTCAACGATATTGCTGCGATATATAGATATTGAATCTATATACGATTTATATCACCCACTCCTACTGTAAAATGTATAGTACTATGAAGTCGTCGTGGCCTAAAGGATAAAACGCCCGGTGCGTTCGTATTGAGCGATGCAGCCGTATCGGTGTTCGAATCCCGCAGGCGGGTACCTATCAATTTTCTAATGAAATACGTACTTGACAATATACTTGAGATTAAACAGTAAGTCTGCTTAGTTAGATTTGTATTTGTAAAAAGTGAATCAGATAAATTTATTAAGTTCGTTTTTGCTACCAAATTTGGTGAAATACATTAGCATTTTGATACTCGTCTTCACGATGAACTTCCGCGGTGAAGGGATAACAACGTGTAATGAAAAACAAACCTATTTCTGCCGTGAAGCAGTAGTGCGTTTTGTTTGAAGTGTAGGGCGGTCCTTGTACTGTAAAAAAATCTGACTTGGAACATATATCTTGAGGTGGGCGGCGGCGTTGACGTGGTTGTTGTGTATAGGCTTTGGTGGCCACTTCACGCCAGGTAGGCCGTGAGCTCATTCATGAAAAACTAGTAGTGTCAGAAGCCAAGCTATAAGACCTCAAGCTTCGCCATTGTTAATCTACCAACCGCCACGTTACATCGTGAAGACGAGTATCACAATGCTAACGTATTTCACCAAATTTGTTAGCAGAACAGAACTTAATAAATTTATCTCATTCACTTTTTACAAATACAAATCTAACTAAGCAGACTTACCGTTTAATTTCAATCATATTGCTTCGTTATTTAATTTTCGATATCTTGAAAACTTAAAGAAAAAAAACAGCTGTTTTAATTTTCCTATCAAGATATTAAAATGTATAAAACACACAATGATTCGGTAAAATAATTGAAATGGATTGTTTTACAAACGGGGATGGATGCTACTTCTGAAATTACTAATTGGCTTCGCCGCGAAACACGAAAAATTAAGGGGGGATTTTATTAATTACCGCTCCGGTCTAATGAAAGTCAATTTGGAGTGCTTTTGGAACTCCAGAGGATATTTATTACTCAGATTGTATTTCAAATACAGTTTACCAGAGTCAGTTTCTAACTTAATTGCGTTGTATGCCTGAAGGTCAGATCTGGATACTCCAGAATTTTCTACTAGCGTTCTAATACATTCTGTATTATGAGTCTGAGCGAGTTGTCATGCATACTGGTTTGAAGGATGAGACAGCTCTGATCTATAGCAAGCAAGACTTCGACTACCCGTCTCAAAGTGGGTGGCATCATTTACGCTGAGTTGTATATGGATTCTAGTAACAAGAGAACTACAGGACGGTGGAGGTCATTTACTCATATACATATGCACTAAAAAAAGATATCGAAATCATATGATTAAACATATTCATACTGGTGGTAGGACTTCTTTTGAGTCCGCGCGGGTAGTTACCACCGCCCTGCTTATTTCTGCTGTGAAGCAGTAATGCGTTTCGGTTTGAAGGGTGAGGCAGCCGTTGTAACTATACTGAGACCTTAGAACTTATATCTCAAGGTGGGTGGCGCATTTACGTTGTAGATGTCTATGGGCTCCAGTAATCACTTACCCAGGTGGGCTGTAAGCTTGTCCACCCATCTAAGCAATAAAAAAAAAATGTCACACTAGCTGGCCCTATTTTGCCATATAAATTATTTCTAGGAAAGATAAAACCTAGACAACGACTGCAGCGCCATCGGCCAGGCTGATTTGTAAATCTAAACCATTCTTGAATCCATCTGAAGGTATACAGAAAATTTCATTAAAATCGGTCCAGCCGCTTAGGAGGAGTTCAGTGACAAACACACGCACAGAAGAAATATATATATAAGAATATAAATATTAGCAAGCGGTCTTACTCTGAGCTACATCAGTTTCAGAAAAACCTAAAATTACCATCACAATACCTTTCAAAAAACCCAAACCTCAGGTACAGTATGCACAACCATGAGCATATACTCAAATTTAAAAATTAACTTGTTAACTTCGAGTCTATTTAAAAACTTAAGAATAGTATATATTTTACTCTTTACCAAAAGGGTTTTAAAAAACAGATGGAATGAAAACATTGAAACTTACTAGTTTTCAGTTAAGCCACAAGGGATTCCCTCACAAGGGAATATATTGAATGTAATCAATGAATCTTTTTCAAACATCCGACCAGAGAAAGCATGCAAAGGTAATGACCACAGTTTCTCATTTTGTCTCAGTTCCGATAAATTGCAGTCGATGCTTCGAACTTTGATGCGGTAAGCTTCCGGGCAACAGTCGCTTTCGCAAATACGTTTGAAATATGTACACTAGTTTAGAATTAATGAAGCAACCGCTTAAAGTTTTCAATAGCTTGACGTGCTATTTATATTTATTCAACTATGATAGAGCTGAAGGAGGATTATGATTTAACAGTATACGATCTCAATTAATTTTAGATACGCATTTTTAGCTATTAAGGGTTTCGTAGCTAGTAGGCAAATCAATTATATTGGTGCGAGGACAAATGCTTGAATTCTTTGAATATTAGGTATTAAATGTTTGGACCACTGGAGGTGATTTGTTAAGCGTAAAATTCGAGTCAACCACAACAAATTTTTGTAACGCTTCAAAACATTACTTGTTTTAGTATAAGCCTTAGTTTTAGTATAAACGTGGCCGTCCCATGCGAACAAGGGTTTTCTTAATTGGTCACTATTCCGCCCCGATGGTAGATTTAGCAAAGCACTGTTCTTGCTAGGGCAAATGTCGGAAAATTCTCTCAGGTTGAGCCCTGTGAGCTGGCCTATTAACCAAAGAGAAGCCCGTATAGCCCCTTGAAGCTATTGGCAGATGGGTAGGCAAAAAGAAAGTACAAGGGACAGTCTGGCTAGGCCACCAGAAAAGTCAGACCTCTTAAATATTGTAAAACTGCTACAGATAAACAAGTTTGTTTTTGGATTTGGCCAAGCATGAGCGACCATCCCTGTGACGACGATTGTGACATCAGCAATGCACGTCTTTTAAAAATAACCAGGATATCATCTCTTCGTCAAATAGATTATGCGTTCGTATTTCCATCTGTCTGTATCTCTATAATTGACCAATGTAATTGACCTAAATATTATATTAAAGTATGGACATGAAATTCTGACATTCTTTAAAGTTTTTGAAATATCGGAAATAGCATAATGAAAGCGTAAGTTTTATTTATGTCTACGACTCCCGAAAATCTGTAAAGAAAATACTCAGAATTTTTTTAGAATTTGCGACATCAAGAGAAAACGAAGAACACGAGCGAATTCGTGTAACAGTAGATCTGGCATCATGGCTCCGACGTCGTCTCGTATACTGTAAAGGTGTTTCTGAAGCTTGCATTTCGGTTACGTCCTATTTAAACTTAAAGTCTTAACCTAGAATTTTACTCGTGTGTTAATCATAGTATCTGTTCCCTTTGTATAGCCTTCCCTTCGCCCATTTCTGTTCGGCTCGCGGCCGCGAGACCTCGCGCTCAAGGATCTTTTCGGGACCCTACCCACTAAACCACTCCACTGTACTCTTCGCCCAAGTGTCCGTTCCTCTCCGAGGTCAGAACCCGGATGAGGTAAGAGGGTTACCGCGGTCAACACTAAACCAGACGGCGTAGCTCACCCCAAGGACGCCCAGCCGACGAAGCCTTCGCGGCGAATCGAATGTTCTGAAACGTCAGCCGTCTCGGTACGGCAGCCCGTCAGGTCGCCCAGACGGTGCCGCTGGTGTCCTGGAATACCCCTATAGACCAGATTAACTTAATAACTGTTTTATTTTCGACATACTTTTATAATGCTATTTGTAAATAATCTAATGATTAATCGAAGAGATTAGAGATTTAATGTCATAGTTACACGTATGCAATTTCAGAATACCTCAGCATTCATCACATGTGTTACACGTATTTAATGTGTGAACGTATTTACCTAATACGTAGCAGAGTTTTTCTTATTAAACGCCCATATCAATCCAAATTAAAATATTTAAGTTAACCTACTTATAAGAGTAAAAACGTACTTTAGTGGTGTAATGTGTACGAGATTTAGTAAAACCGGGCAGTTGGAACTGGGTCGACGGAGCACGGTCCAAATCACTAGAACAACATAACGGTTCTTTAGACAGCGGAAGGCGCAGCAAACATCCACTTTATCTTACACAGTATTTACACATCGACGTTGCTTCACGCGGAAACGATGTACCTGCCTATATTTCTGTTTGCCTTCGCGTCTCTGAGCGAAGGAAGCCGACAAAAAAGATACCTAGTCTACCCCGACGGAGGCCCAGCGAGAGCTCAGGTATTTTTTTTTTTACAGAATTTACATTAACTTAGGCAAATGATGTTGTCTTTACACAACGGATAGGATTTAACGAAGCATAGCTCTTTTTTGTTCGTGTATTTGAATGCAATTAGCTTCTGTCCGCCTTTTGAGCTGTATATTTTTTATTCATTTCATTTGCGCACTTTGTATTTCTTCTCTCAGGAGAGTTTCGGTAAAATCAGTTAATTTTCTAGTCGAGTTTGCTTGATTATCTCCTTGTTTTATTCTGTTTTTTTTTTTATTGTAGTGGTTGGGCGTATTTTATGCGTATACATAATTTTTAGCGTTCCAAATATATATTTCTTCCGCGTAACAATCACATGTTACGGTTTGAGACTTTGACATTTTAATTTTTTTTATTGCTTAGTTGTGTGGACGAGCGCACGGTCTATCCTGTGTTAAATGGTTACCGGAGCCCATAGACATCAATACGGTAAATGGTACCACCCACTTTGAGACATTTGTTTAATTTTAAGGTTTCGGTTAGAATGAGTTCGGTTTTAAGGTTTCCGTTAAGGTTTTGCCCTATCCTTTAAACCGAAACGCATTACTGCTTCATGGCAGAAATAGGCAGAATTAACGTTGTGGAATGTATATTCTCTTGTAATCGCTTAATACCGCTTAAGCCTTGATATCGTTCGTCATTAACGATATAAAAGTAGTAACAGTTTTTTTTAATTAAAATATGAAAAGAAATTTGTAGCATGTGCTTATGTGATCACAATGATTCGAATTTAAAGAAATAGTCACTTTTTCTTTGTGTCCATTTAAATTACTTATTATTTGTTTCAACATCACCATCATCAGGATACTGCTGGACAAAGCCTTTCCGATTGCACGCCACTAAGCACGATCATTACGATCTGTTGAAATATTATTTTATACCCAAAATAGAGTTTATAGAGTTCATAAAGCTAGTTACTTCTTTTATGTAACAAAAAAACCTCATAATAAAATCTTATTTAAGATACTGTACTACCTGTACTATACTATAATTTTTATATTCAATTTTAGTTCATCATTGGTGTCGGTATACCAGTCGATTTGAAAGAGGCGTCTGTAACCGTTGGCACTGTAATCAAATTCCAATATGATTTACCAACAAATAGTACAGAATATACCAGCCGTATTTACGGATTTGCTAGTACCGTATCAAGAGATATGAATGGTGATACACCCGATAAGAGCGTAACAATAGCCGATGATGATACATCTACTGTAGAGGATAATAATGAAATCGAAACATTAAGACATTTAGATGAAGAAAATAGCTTAGACGATGAGACAGATAATGAAAACAATACATTGATCGACATTACTTTCGATGACAGACGCAAGAGATCTTTAATTTATTCTGAAGGTGGAATTTTAAATTCTGCTGATGATGATAGTACAGAATTGCCCTTAGAAGAAGCTATACGAAGACAGGAGTTGATAGACAAAAATAATTTAGAAGAAGAAGAAGAGCCTCAAAGGATGAATCGATGGGACTTCTATAAGATTTTGGAGCATATGGTGGAGAGGTAAATTTGAACATGTGCTAAATGTACTTCTACTACTTCGTTTCCTTGTGTTGCTGGGTATAATTTCAAATTATGTTTACTTTGATTTTTTTGTAGATAGTGAAATAGGATTTAATGAAATTAGGTTTCTTTGACCTTATATTTGACATTATATTTATTTTATGGCTGATTAGATTTACAAGCAAGCATTGGCTTAGTAAATGGATCAGAATAAGTACTGCAGTGATCCCACAAAATGTTTGATTTTCTATATGACATTCTCTATGGCTACATTATATCATTTAAAAATCAAAATTCGTATTTGCGTTTCGAGCGAAATTGTAAAGTAGGAATGTCGGGATTAGATTGAATGACTTTTTTATAAAGATGTGTCTTACTTCTCGGTCTTGAGCTCAGGAAATGTGGTATGAAGTGAAAAATCAAATCATCATCTCAAATTAACTCGAAATTTGGCATACTTATTAAGGACCGATGACAATGCAATATTTTTTTTTTTTATTCAAAACATTGAAATTCAACAAAAAAATAAAAAATAAATAATAGTTTAAAAAAACAAAAAAGAAAATGCTTTTGTAGAAAATCCAACAAAAAATAGAAAATAAATTTATTTACAGTAAAATATTTTTTTATTACACAATTTTTAATTCAAATTTATCAAAATTTATTTTCTATTTTTTAATTGGATTTTCTATAAAAGCGTATTTTTTAAACTATTATTTATTAATAATTAATACAGCCATAGAGCATAAAAAATTCCGAGTTATCACTTGCACGAAGTAAATAAAACACAAATCTTGCACAGTGTATCGATATCACCACGCCTGCTATGAAGAACGTTGATATTGCCAAAGGTCCACAGGAAGCTTTTCAAACTATTAAAAATCTCCATTGCACAGAAACTGCAGCAATCGAATTTAAATTCTCACTGGAGCCCGTTAAAGTCGTACGGAAATTCTTCAGAATATTTTATTGGGATGTGCATTGAAAATTCTCAGATACGGGTACACGGGTCGACCCTGCCTTCTTCGAACAATCTGCGAGGCTGCCGAGGTTCCCTTTACACACGAGAACGGCTTGCTAGGTGAAATTGGACATATACTATTCACGTAAGTGCTTGATTTGAATGAAAGTCTCCTGAAAGGGCTTTCGTGAATTTTAAGTCGTGCCTTTAAATTTTAGAGCTCGGTGATTTCATTTTATGATGCTTTGAAGTTCGCATGCATTTTCGTTTCATTAAAAAATAATCTGGATAATTGTGCGCTTACAAAATTTACGTAAACGATGCACTGAGATAGCTTGTGGAAATGAAAATAAAATTATTTTGTCCTTTCAATTCTAAGTAAATTATTATTAGTCTTTTTTTTTATTGCTTAGATGGGTGGACGAGCTCATAGCCCACCTGGTGTTAAGTGGTTACTGGAGCCCATAGAAATCCACAACGTAAATGCGCCACCCACGTCAAGTATAGTTATATAAGTATAGTATAGTCTATTATAAATAGGTTAAAAAGATGGTCTATTTAGTGTACGCGATTTGTTGTATTATGTACGGAAACTTTGCTAATTGTAAGAACATAATTGATGACGTCATTGAATACTCAGTACGCCTTTTAATTACATTTAAAACAGTTTTAATAACGAGCACATATTTTTTTAATAGCAATCAAAATGTGTAAACGGATTGTACAGGTATCAGAGTTCAGAATCAGACTTGTACAGTGCCATGTTTTTAAGTTTTTTAGTGTATTGATGGATGAGCCAGCTCACGGCGCACCTCATGTTAAATGGTCAACCTAAAGACTACCACCGACCTTTTGGTTTGAAGTCGAAGTTTCAGTAATATTAAACAACCGCTATGTCATCTTTCAAACCAAAATGCATGCCTACTTCGAAAGAACTACTAGAAACAGGCAAGGTATTGATTGATATTTGGTCGCACGGACCTCACAATAAGACCTACCAACCGGAACGAAAAGGAACTATTTAGTAATATAGCTTTGCATTTGGCGTGAAGGGCAATAATTTACAATAAATTGTAAATTGAATTAACGTGTACTTTGTCTTTTTATAAATTAGGTCTCTTGCTAGTTTCACCATATTCTTATGCTTAATGATATATTATCACAGTAACATCAATTTTTTTTAAAGGTAAATGTATTTAAATACATACATTCACGGATGACCTCCACCATGAAAGAATAATAAATATTGTGTCAAAATTATTTCCTACCTATGCTGATAGCCTTGAGAGGCTATTTCAGCTTCGCCCTAACGTTTGTAGGTGAGCTCACGGGGCTCAAACCTGACGACGATGCTAACACGAACCCTAGCAAGAGCCGTGCTTCGCAGAATCTACCACCGGATCGGAAACGCGACCCACTGAGAAGATCCGGCGAGAAACTCAGTGGGCTGTGTCTGAGAGTTAATTTGCTCGTCGAGCCCTTCGTCGCAAGTGACGGGTTCGACGAGAACGGTTACCGGTGCTTGAAATACCTAAAAGCACCGTTAGTGGATCGGGAGGATCCGAGATGACGTGTTTTGGGCGACGTCGACTGCTTTCCATTCTGTCCGCAGGATCGGGAATGTAGTTACCGGCGGCCACGATGAGAGGGTTCTCGTGTCGTGCCGCTTTATCGAAGTGGCGCATCGACGCCGACTGCAAATACTTACTGACGGAATTGTGTCAAAGTTGTTAACATTGCGTCAAATCAAACTCAAAAATAGTAATTTGTATATTTACTGATGGTATCCGGTTTGATCACACTATAATAATTGGAACTTATCTCGAGATAGGTGGTAGGTAACCTTCATGTTTTGATGTCTACGGGTTCCGTTAACCACTTAACACCGGGTGGGTTCTAAGCGGGTTCAACTATTTAACTAATGCTAAAACAGGTTTTTTCATTGAAAATACTAAACATTTCAGACCATCGACAACAAGAGACAGTCTCTCCCATCACACCGACAACGAATATCATGCCGCAGAGCGTCTCGGTAGAGAAGCAGGGGGGAATTGCGAAAATATCTTCCCAGAGTGCGAGGGCTCTGTCTTAGATACGTTCACGAGAATCGGCGTTGATACTTTGCATAAATTCGGAATTTTCACTTAGTTTTTTCATTAACATAATATAATTGTTTAATTTTCAATAATCATTCGATAACGAAAAATTCAATTACCCTTTGTCAAATTGTGACATTTTGTTGCATACAAGTACTCGTGCTAGAATTAAATCGGCAGCCCAAATTATTTCCCGTGTCGACCAATCCGAGCTTGACACCGAGAATAATTATGTAGAACGTATGAATAAAGCAATTATGAATAAGTGTTTTATTTTATTTACAGTGATTAAGCATAATTCGGTTCATGCATCATCATGTTTGGATGAGCCGCGGTGTCTCTATTGTGTCCAGTTTTTATAAGTATTGACTTTTCACAAGTCACGTAAAAGTTAATAACTAAATAACAAAATTCAAATTCAAATTCAAAATCATTTATTTCAACTTAGATGTCAGTATGACACACTTGTTGAATGTCAAAATACAAATAACAATGTTAACTCTACCACCGGTTCCAAAAAAAGCCACAGTCCTGAGAAGAACCGGCGAAACAAACTCAGCGGGCTTTTTTTTTTTTTGTTTTTTCTCAAATATTTTCTTTTTTTTTAATAAATAAAAATATTCACAATAAAAGAAAAAACAAGTCAAAAAAATACAATTAAAAAAATAATAATAATAATGAAAAATGAAAAGGCCAGGAGCGAGCGCCTCATTCCCACGTAGTGCCATCTAGTAAATAATCCTTAACTTTATAATATGCCTTGTTGCACAAACGTTCCTTAACAGTTTTCTTAAATCTATGAACAGGTAGTAGTTGAACGTTTAGTGGGATCTTGTTGAAAAGCTGTACACCCAGCCCCCTAAAAGAGTTGCTTATTTTCTTAATTCGAGCCGCCGGCAACGCAAGCCTATGTTTGTTCCTAGTGTTCACATTGTGCAAATCGCAGACTCTGGGGAATTCTTCAATGTTTTTACGCACGTACAATAAATTTTCAAAAATGTATTGGGACGCTAAAGTTAGAATTTTGATTTCCTTAAACTTGTCCCTCAAGGATTCCCTCGGGTGCATATTATAAATAGCACGAATAGCCCTCTTCTGCAGGATGAAAATCGTTTCGACATCGGCAGCATTGCCCCATAGCAAAATGCCATAGGACATAACACTATGAAAATAACTAAAATAAACCAGGCGTGCCGTATCTTCATTAATATACATTCGTATTTTTTTTACCGCAAACGCTGCAGAACTAAGCCTACTCGCTAACTTGCATATGTGAGGACCCCACTGCAGCTTGGAATCAACTGTTATACCAAGAAAAACTGTCGAATCCACAAGCTCCAGTGTCTCTCCACTTACAGTAATATTAGTGTCAACTTGTCTAACATTAGGTGTGGTAAATTTTATACATTTTGTTTTTTTGTTATTTAATAACAGATTATTAACACTAAACCAATGTACCACGCGCGAGATAGCATCATTCACATCGTCATAATCTTCCAAATGTCGTTTAATTTTAAACAATAATGATGTATCATCAGCGAATAATACGACCTCGTGACGGGTTTCAATAAACTTAGGTAAATCATTGATATATACAAGAAATAGGAAGGGACCCAATATGGAACCCTGAGGAACACCCATATTAAGTAAGACACCGGAAGATCTGGTTCCTTTAACGTCTACTTTTTGGATTCTTCCGGATAAATAAGATTTAATAAGTTCTAATGAAACGCCCCTAATACCATAATGGTGTAATTTCCTCAACAATGTATTGCTAAGACAAAATTGCTATTTGCGAAGAACCAAGAAAATAACGAGAAAATAAGCTTTACTCCGGACATACTAACAAATAACATTATTATAAACATTAGTAAAATACAAACGAATTAGACAATTACTAAATAAATAATTAAGACAACTTTACAAAAATATAAAAATAAGTAAACAAAATGAAAGAACTATTTAAACTGAAAACGCCAAAAACAATGGCGAAATTAATTTATTGTGGAAATAATGGAAACAAAATAAATAACAAAAACTTTAAAAGCCTGTGAGCTCCCAGAACGGGGAGGAAATTAATAACGCTCAGCACTAGTTATTTCCGTACAGCGCTAAAAACGCCAATTTTTAACCCAAAATTATTTTAACCTATCGCTGTTATTGCGCTATCTATATTATACATTATTATTGAACTCAAAACTATTGAACTTACCACTATTATTGAACTCACCACTCAGAAACTCATCAATTAAATTCAAAGGTAATTCTATAACTGTAATAGTATACCCAGTATATCGCGATTTCAAATTATTATTTGCTGAAATGTGCTCTATATAAGTTTATGACCATTTCATTTTGAGGTTTCTTAGAAGAATTGACCTACAATTATACTATATGGTCCAAGATCCCAAGAAATAGACAAATGCAAATAGACACAAAGCTAGCCATGTTGTGACTTTATGCTCCTCATATGATGATAAATTCTGCCCTAATCAAATACCCTTCATGAAACGTTTCAATAACTTTTTGAAATGGACATTGCATGTTCCACGTCAATCATTGATTTAGCGGAATCAGGTTTTAGAATATTAAATTGCTTTAATTGATCCATTTATATTTGTCGGTCTTCTTCTATTTAAATGCGACCTAATTGAACCAGTTTAAGCTAAATCTAGTAAATTAAATAATGAATAGATAATGACCGAGCTTTGCTGTTTTTTTTTTTTGATAACGCCATCTAGTTGTGTCTTTAAATCGGTTAGTTGCCCTCAATTAAGAAAAATAGTATTATTATTCACCAATAAATGTCGGGAAGAGTTGATTATTGAAAACACGAATAAAACAACATTTTCTGAAAATAAATCGTAGCTAGATCGATTTATCGCCCCCGAAATTCCCTGTATACTAAATTTTATGAAAATCTTTGGAGCCGTTTCCGAGATTCAGATTATACCTAGTCAGGTCATAAATTCTGTCACATGTTTAATGTAAAATAATTGAAACAAGTTTATTCAATATGTAACCATTCATATACCAAAATGAACTTAACAAAACATAGATTCTTATGACACTAAAGTTTATTCAAAATGACCTCCGTGATTTTGAATACAGGCCTTCAATCTGCGCGGCCAGTCGTCTATCGCAGCACGAACGAGGTCCATGTCAATATCGGCGGCTGCCTTAATCAAGGATGTCTTGAGTGACTCCAAATTGGGATGAGGCTTTGAGCACGCCTTTTCCTCCAAGTGTTGCCATATCTTGTAATCTAACGGATTCAAATCTGGACTGGAGGAGGGCCAGTCTTCGTGCCGGATGAAGTCGATTTCACGCGCCGCCAGCCAGTCTTGTGTGCTCTTCGCTCTATGAGCTGGCGCCGAATCTTGTTGGAATACCCAGTGCCTGTTATTGAACATGGTATGAGAAACAGGTTCCACAAGGTTCGTCAGGACTGTATTTTGATACACAACTGCATTCGTTTTTACACCTTTCTCACAAAAATGTACCTCTGTTAAGCCCCAATAAGAAACTCCCAACCATACCATGAGCGAGGATGGAAAATGACCTCGTTGGACACGCGGAATACGGTTGCTCGCTTCTTCACTACTGTGTGCGTACACCTTATCATTTTGTTTGTTGTAGCTCTCTTCTACGGTAAAAATTTTTTCATCCGAAAAAAGAATTTCCCGATATTTTTTTCCCGCGTACCGCTTCAACAAAGCGCGGCATCTCTTCAGTCTCAGGTCCATTAGACGAGCATTCAAACGATGTCCTGTTTTTCTTCGATATGCCCGAAGCCCTAAGTCTTCATTTAACACCCTTTTCACCGTGGTTCTGCTTAACCCCATCTGAAGGGCCAACAGTTTCTGCTTACGTTTGGGATTTCTTTGAATTCGCGCCTTCACAGCTTTTATCACTGCTGGAGTCCTAACAGACCGAGGGCGACCACTTCTTGACCTGTCATCTACACTAGAGTCTTCATTGTATCGTTTGATGGTACGATAAACGAATCTTTTGGTTATATTAAATTTTTTCAGAATGTTAAAAATTTGAATTGGCGCGTAACCGCAACGATGCAACGCAGTAACTGCAACACGGTCTTCTTTAAGCGTCCACTCCATATTTAAAAATGAGTAAAATTCTAAAAGTATACGTTTTTATTTTCATGAACAATTCGAAATTCGAATTCAATAAAGTTTTTTGTGGCCAGCATTCTAAAAGAAAAGTTTTTACTGTGTGACAATACTTATGACCTGACTAGTTATATATATATACATATACAAGAATTGCTCGTTTAAAGGTATATTTTTTTTTTTGGTACATCGAAATTTTGTTTTTCAAGTCCAGAGAATACGTATTATATCTGAAAATTACGTTCACCGTTAGCTATCTCAAATTATGATATTACTTTATTCATAACTTTTATGTTTTCATATTCATTATCTCATTTCGTATTTACTTTAAATTTTAAGTCAAATTCTAGATAATGTTTTGCATATTTCATGTAATGTATGAGTACTCGTAGTAGCAAACGCTCCATTTTTTTGTTCTGACGTTATTTTGACAATAACGCTCAGTTATTTGAACGTGCTATTTCTCATAATATAAAAAACATAATTAAGTACAATAGTTAAATGTTTATTTCGATAAAGAAAACTAAATATTTGTAGTATGAAGAATGAAAAAAATCGGTTTTTTCTGTCTTATATAAAAGGCAACCAAAGATGCCGATTGGAGTAAATATCACAAGATGCTATTTCCTTATCGTGAACGTTGTTTGGAGCTAGAGTTTAAATCGTTTTACTGGTGGTAGGACCTCTTAAGAGTCCGCGCGGGTAGGTATCACCACCCTGCCTATTTCTGCCATGAAGCAGTAATTCGCATAGATTATACACTTAATATGTAATGCGTTTCGGTTTGAAGGGTGAGGGCAGCTGTAGTAACTATACTCGTGTAATAAAAACCAAACCCGCAAAATTATAATTTGCGTAATCACTGGTGGTAGGACCTTTTGGGAGTCCGCACGGGTAGGTACCACCACCCCGCCTATTTCCGCCGTGAAGCGGTAATGCGTTTCGGTTCGAAGGGTGGGGTAGCCGTTGTAACTATAGTGAGACCTTAGAACTTATATCTCGAGGTGGGTGGCGCATTTACGTTGTAGATGTCTATGGGCTCCAGTAACCACTTAACATCAGGTGGGCTGTCAGCTTGTCTACCCATCAAACCAATAAAAAAAAATCGATTAAAAGGCAAAGATTAATGAAACTATTTTATTTACTATTCTAAATATGGAGTCAACTACGGCGCTTAAAAAAATAATCTTTAGAACAGTATAAATCACGATGGATCATGCTGCTTAGTGAATAGATCGACAAAAGACGCGTTGCATTCTTGGTAGCTGTTCAAGCAATCTTCCGATTTTTGACCTAGATTATACGCTTCTATGTACGGGAATATCTCTTTCTGCTGCACTGATTGATGGATTAAGTCGTTTCGTGGACTGGAACAAGAAGATAAATATATTTAACGATTATGTTGATAGCATTCCAATAAACAGTAACATAGCGCTATAATTGCTAAATAGGACAAATGTATTCCAATTATTTAATTTTAATATCAGTCATTATAAAATGCCATTTCCAGTTAAACAAAAAAATAAAAATGAAACAATTTATGTATGATTGTTACAGCTGGTTGACATAAGTTGCTCCGTTACCCAGACAGAAGTTAGACCTAATCAAAGACCCTCGTCCTCGCAAGGCTCCCGGTTCCGACGGTATATTTAACTGCGTTATTAAACTTCTACCGTCCAACTCATCGTGATGTTGGCATCTATTTTCAATGCCGCTATGGCGAACTGTATCTTTACCGCAGTGTGGAAAGAAGCGGACGTTCTCGGCATACCGGTAAACGAAAAAATCATCCGATGAGTTACCGCCCGATTAGCCTCCTCATGTCGCCTCAGAAACTTTGCCTCATCCAAGAGCATTCTCGTCGATGAACAATTCGGATTCCGCGCAAATCATTCACCTACAACAGGTGCACCGCCTCATCTCACCGGCTTAACCGACCAAAACCGCTCTAAACGGAAGCCCTCTTTTGCGACGTCGCAAAAGCGTTCGACAAAGTGTGGCACAACGGTTAGATTTTTAAACTATTCAACATGGGCGTGCCGGATGGTCTCGTGTTCATCATACGGGACTTCTTGTCGAACCGCTCTTTTCGATATCGAGTCGAACGAACTCGCTCTTACTCGCGACCGCCCACGGATGGGGTCACGTAAGGCTCCGTCGTCTCTCCTTTCCGGAAATGGTGAGACATTAACCCAGTGAAAAGGACATCGGTGCTATTTCAAAGGGGAAGCTCTACACGGATTCCCTTCTGCATTAGGAGGAGAAATCTCACACCCCCATCACCCTCTTCGGCCAACCTATTTCCTGAACCAGGAAGGTTAAGCACCCGGGAATCATCCTGGATACATCCACGACATTCCACCCGCATATAAAATCAGCACGCAACAGTGCCGCGTTTATTCTCGACAGACTCTACCTCTAGATATACAGCGGAGTAAAATGTCCCTTCGGAACAAGGTGACACTTTACAAAACTTGCATAAGGCCCGTCATGACTTACGCGAGTGTGGTGTTCGCTCACGCGGCCCGCACACATATAGATATTCTCCAATCTCTACAATCCCGCTTTTACAGGTTAGCCGTCGGAGCTCCGTGGTTCGTGAGGAACGTTGACCTACACGACGACCTGGGCCTCGAATCTATCCAGAAATACATGAAGTCAGCGTCGGAACGGTACTTCAATAAGGCTATGCGTCATGATAATCGCCTTATCGTTGCCGCCGCCTACTACTCCCCGAATCCTGATCACGCAGGGGTCAGTCACCATCGACGCCCTGGACACATCCTCACGGATCCATCAGATCCAATAAACCCTTGCATTAGACACCTTTAGCTCTAGCACCAGGAGTAGGGACCCCGGTGATCGTACTCGTCGAACCCGGCAAAGAGTTCGACATGCAGCCTAATCTAAACATCAGCCCGCTGAGTTTCACGTCGGATCTTCTCAGCAGGTCGCGATTCCGATCCGGTAGTAGATTTGTGAAGCAGCTGCCCTTGAGTAGTTAGGTCCCCTTTGGAGGCACTCGAGCAGCGGTAAGCAAATCCCATCACTCCTGGCTGAGCCTTTGCTTTACCATCTTCAAGTTTTTTGATGTGGTATAACGGCGTGTGCAGTATTGTGTAATAGGCTACGCGATATTTTTTTTAAATGTCTTGTTCCCATATCAAGTTATTCAGTGAGATTTTTGCTGGTGGAGATCTGTGACTGATAGACATTGATATCTGGATAAATTATACATCAATGCTAATAACTCGTCATTAATATTCACTTAATACTTAGCGAGGATCTTGTTGAAAAAGTACTAACTTTAAAACAAACGTAGCTAATTCATGCAACAGATCTTCGTCGTCGTCGGAATGTAGAGGCTCTGAACCTAGTTGACATAATGTCTTCTTCACACAAGCCGTTCCGTTGTAGCCGAAACTGAAATGAGAAATGGTACGAATTAAAATTAAAATAGTCCTTTGGGTGGCTTTTAAAACAACTAAGTAGTGTTTGTTCGTTGGTTAAAATTGAATTATAGTTATTGACACCTCAAAACTCAGATTGGTTTGGTACATCACACTTTTTCTTGAAAACGTGGACAAAACATTTAGTGGTCACCGAATATTTATATTGATCCACTAAAGCTCATCGTTAGCTAAACAATACACTAAACAATAAATCGGTAGCCAAATAGAGGAGAAAAAGGTTTGGAATCATTTTGTCTTTGTCTATTTCTATTTAGATGATACTATAAATTTAATCTAAGTCCTGTTCGATGAATAAATTATGATTATACAATGTAAACCCCTCCTTAAGCATTATAGGTGGAAAAACTGTATGTAAATACCTAGACGGGATTTAGAAGTTGCTTCAAGAAAGCCGGGATCACACACCTGAAAAGGCTTTTCTCATGTAAGATCATCTGATTTTTCCAATTTTAGTGTTGCAATCTATATATTTTATATCGTAATTGCATCGTACTTTGTATGTTATAAATTAACAATTATCTAAGACTGCAGATAAATAAAGGCACGGTAATATATACTGATTGTGCTTGTTTTATTGTTGAAGTTATTCCGCTGTTTATCATATTACTCCCGCGGCCGATTTCGGGTAAGATATCGCTTTCAGCTGATTTATCGCATACCGACAGTTCAATACTTTTCGGAAGCGTTTCTCACGCAAATTACTTTCGTCAATTCCAATTTTCCGAATGTCACGGAGTGATTTATAGGTGCTTGTTGAAGGGGAATCGTAATAAGCGTTTGTTTGTTTTGTCGTTGTTGATTGCGACAAAAAAGTGGACGTCAAAAATTAATTGTTACTGGTAAAATTAGTTTTTACTGGTTGTAGGACGTTTTGTGAGTCCGCACGGCTAGGTATCACGACTCTGCCTATTTTTGCCGTAAAGTTGCGTTTCTAGTCGAAGGGTGGGACAGCCACTGTAGTGTAAAAACGGAGATGACCTTTGAACTCTTGTCTGGAGGTGGGAAGTGGCATTTACATTGTAGATGTCTATAGGCTCCGGTAACCACCTAACCTGACCATTAGGATTATTCATCCATTTTGTTAATGTGGAATTCACTTGATGAAAACTAATACGAATAATTGGTGATCTCTCATAATAAATAGCAAATGGGTAATAAGCCACAGTAAAGCTGGCTTAAACTGCTTTAGCTGAGGTAAACAGCGCGAGTACATGCAATTTAAAAGATAGTGTAAGAATGAAGAGTAAGGAGACGGACAAATAATAAATGAGCTGTATTAGAATTAGTCGCAGCCCGCATTTGCCATGTCGTAAGTATCTCATGAGAATTAACTTTCCGCGAATTTTTATCCAAATCCATTGAGCGTTTTTGTCTAGTAAACCAATGTCCACATCTATAATTAGAAGTTAAAAATTTTTTAGTTTTAAGTTTATATGTATATATTTTAGGTTGATAATATACATATGACGATGAATATATGATGATTATATTTTATTATATAATCGTACGGATACGATGTTTGGTATTATTTAAGTTCTGCAAACTAATAGTACATATTTTTCTCGAATAAAATAAAATGAGAATAAGAGAAAAGGGAAAACGAAATGGAAAACAATAAATTCCTAGTTATAGAAATCTTGTGATATTTAATAGAGATTTTGTTGGACACCATTTACGGTTCTAAGCGGTTTGAAAACTAGACTATCCCCAATACATTACGTTTAGTACTAATTAGCAACAAATGGTTCTTGTCAACATAAAAGTCGTGATTTCGGGGTTCCGACTAACTCTCTGACACAATATGGAGTTAACTGTTTTTCGAGTTCAATAAACTTTTAAGCCGAATATGAAAGAAGTAGAAATACTTTATTAGAATTATAATAAACAGAGTAATAAATTTACATAGTCAAATAGAATAGAAATAAAAAACCGTATAAAGAACAGTATTATCGATCAAAGTCGTATATTACAAGAGCCACCAGATAAATTGTTTGTACAAAAAAATGTTTTTAAGCTATTGCATAGCTTTTATCGCGGGCTTTGAGCGCTGCGACCGAATCAAGAAATTTCGTAACGAAAATAAAAACTAACACCCCCCCACTCCGCCTATCATCTAGCTCGCGTTCAACACATGGAATTCACACGTTGCGCTTGTGTAGTGTTTGTGAATAAGCGTGCAGCGTGACGTCGCACTGCATGCGCATCATGAAAAGTCTTTCTCTCGCGCGGTCTAGCTTATGAGTGTGAAGGGGACCGTTAATGTTTTGCTTTTGTTAATGTTTATAAATATGGCGTGGTCTTATTTTATTATTGTTTTATTATTACATTATTATTGTCTAATTATAATTGCGTAAGTTGATAAAAAATGCTATGCAATAGCTTTACCGCGGTGCCACACGTGTTTTATGTTTTTTCAATTCTATGTTCTCGTAGTTTACCTTCTCTGAATTTCATTTAAATATGAATATTGGATATGCACGTTCAAAGCTATGTTAATTATTGAAATATTTCACGTGCAATCTCCCGAACCGAGACAAACATCTTCCCTGGAGTACAAAAACAGCAAAGTTTCAAGCCACTACTAACTTTCTTATGGCCTGGTCCATAAGATGCCCGATGTACTTGTTACTCGTATCGATATGATGTGGCAGAGTTCAAATCCTCTGGGATCTAACATTTGTTTAAAACTTAATACCTATGTAACATATTATTATGCTTAGAACGACGATGACTTACGATGACTTAGCAAATTCATTTCTTTATATATATTCTATAAATATTAGTTGAATATACAGATGTATAGGAAATTAAACACGATCGTGTAAGATTATCTATACTGATATTACAAAGCTGAAGAGTTTGTTTGTTTGAACGCGCTAATCTCAGGAACTACTGGGCCGATTTGAAAAATTCTTTCAGTGTTAGATAGCCCATTTATTGAGGAAGGCTATATGCTATGTAACATTACGCTAAGACCAATAAAAGCGGAGCACCAATAATGTTTCAAAATCGGGTTTTTTCCCTTTTGAGAGCTTCCGCAGCGTGCGCTGCAGAAACGGTTAAAGTTTCGCCAAAATAATGTATTACAGAATTGTTCCCCTTTAAAAGATCTAAAAAAAAGTCCGCGACAGCATGTCTATATGTTGAGGATGGCTCACTATAACTTTTTTATGCTAACCAAATTTGTTCTATATTAAAGCATTATTTGTGAACTATTCCACGCGGACGAAGTCGCGGGCAAAAGCTAGTTAAAATATAAAAATAATTAAAATAATTTCAATGATGAACGCACGATGACTTTGCTGTGATAGCAAGTTGATAGAATGTGCACGTGTAGCTTAACATCATCAAATAAACTCACCTATTCAACATATCCTCTATATATTTGTAGAAGTGGTACAGGCGGGCATCATTATCGTAGCTACCACTATTCATATTGTCTATATCCCTGATCTGTCTAGAAGGTCCGTCGTACCCTGAATTGGCTAGTAGAATGTCGACTGGAATTTGGCTTCTGTTCCATGGTAGTTGGAAATTAGCTTGAAAGGCGAAGTTCACGTTGATATCCTTCACAGGACTGGGGGTTCCGATGCCGGCGTTGAACTGAAAATTTAATTCGTACGTTAATATTTTTTGCACGCTTTACGGGATTGAATTTTATCAAATGGAAAGAAAGTAGTGGCTTTGTGTAATCAAAAAAAATTTGTTTGTGTTTTGACTTGCATTTCAATGCTATGGTAGATACCATTATTTGCTCTGCACTAACTTTGGTTGACTGATAAAGAATTTTAAGGATTAAGTAAGTTTTAAGGATTAATAATAAATGAAGTGGTACAGGTATGGTATTATATAAATAAATAAATTTATGTGAATCGTATTGTTCTAAATTCTTCTTTGCGGAAGGCAGCGGCTTGGCTCTGCCCCTGGAATTGCTGACATCCATGAGTGACGGTAACCACTTACCATCAGGTGGGCCGTATGCTCGTCTGCCTAATCAGGAAATAAAAAAAAACATACGTAGCTAAGTTTTAAATAGTATTCTTAAGTTTATTGCTTTTTTTTTTATTGCCTAGATATGTGGTCGAGCTCACAGCCCACCTGATGTTAAGTGGTTACTGGAACCCCTAGACATCTACAACATAAATGCGCCACACACCTTGAGATATAAGTTCTAAGGTCTCAAAATAGTTACAATGGCCACGGCCACGGTTAGTATAGGTATCGCCACCCTTCCTATTTCTGCCGAGAAGCAGTAACGCGCAGCCGTAGTACTATTAAAACTGAGATCTTACAAGTCATGTCTCAAGGTGGGCGGCGTTATTCACGTTGTAGATGTCTATGGGCTCCGGTAAGCACTTAACATCAGGTGGGCTATGAGTTCGTTCAACCATCTAAGCAATAAAATACTTAGCGACAGTCACAAAAATATAAAAAAATAAAAATACTACATATCTCATGTATGAATGATTTTGGTGCGTTTCGATACATATCTGAAGTAAGTAATATAATATATGTACACTTTCAAAGGAATGTAAATATTGTGCACCTAATACTAAGTGGTCAATGGACATAAGCAATATCAGGGGAACAGTGAAGTCGTTGCCTACTGCTAAGGAATCTTTTGAAAACAAACAAACAATATGTTGTAAGAATAAATAATATAGAATAGTTCATTCCGTATCTTGTTTAAACATAATTATGTAGATATAAATATATTACATGGTTTGTAAGTCGTCGTGGCCTAAAAGATAAAACGTCCGGTGCATTCGTATGTAGTGATGCACCGGTGTTCGAATCCCGCTGGCAGGTATCAATTTTTCTAATGAAATACGTACTCAACAAATGTTCACGATTGACTTTCACGGTGAAGGAATAACATCGTGTAATAAAAAAATCAAATACGCAAAATTATAATTTGCGTAATTACTGGTCCACATGGGTAGGTACCACCGCCACCACTTAACCAGGTGGGCTGTGAGCTCGTCCAATGCAATGCAAAAACTATACTCCATATATGTGCTCAAAGAAACAACATCTATATACTTGTACAGTGTGAGGTGATTAATTATTATAATTGATTGAAATTTGAATAGAGCGACGATTTAGATCCGCGCTAAATAATTACATTCAAATTGAATGAAACAATCGAGATAATCGAAGCCCGGATCAACTCGAACGAGGCACATTCGTATTGATCCAAATAATTGAACATCAATAGAGAATGGCGCTTGTTTTCCGATGAATAAGCACAAAATTAGGATATCACATTGAATCTGTCACGTAACTAGAAGAATTGCTTCGAAATCAACTTGTATTTAAATGATGGCGGTTGTACATATTTTATTTTATTTTATTTTATTTATTGGGTACCAACATGTTATACATCAGCACAGAACATTACAGGTATCATATACATTGATTTCACACTAAATGCTAACACAAATACAGGTACCGACTGCATGCATAAAAAAAAAAGCGGTTCATTATATAAAAAACAAAGAAAAACTATATATAACATTACATGAAGACCTTACATTATTACACATTTACTACCAAATACGCTATTACTTAATTGAAAATTTATTTATTTCTAAGGTGCTAGAAATAATGATCAACAGGAAAAAGAAGATAATAATATTGTAGGAAAGTTACTGGCTAAGTCAAACACGTAGGACAGAGAAAAAAGATTTTAAATAAAACAAATTGGATTAATCAATAAATCGCCCGTTGAGTTTTATAGATTCGCGTAATAACCAGTGGTAGGACGTATTGTAGGTCCTATTATAATTTGTATTGAATAATGAAGGGCAACATAGCCATGATACGTTACAATTGGAATTTGTTGCTGCATCTATAGCTTTCGGTAAAAATTAACATTAAGGTCATGATCACTATCTTTTGTGCACTCAGCTACAGACTATTTTTATGCATTATACTATTAAATAGATAAGTTTTTGAAACCTGTAATAAAGTGTTATTTGGGAACAGCAGTTGTCTTCGATTCCTTTGCAACGATTCACTTTGAAGTTTAGCTTCAGTGGCACAATATGCGTAAGGGAACAGATAAAGAAAGCCAAATAATCTCAGGAGATATTTTTTGGACATCGTGATGTTGAATCAACCGAGATCTGAGCGTCACTTGGTCGGCCGACTCGAAAAACGGACTTATTACGTTTACAACATTACTTACCGATGGTGGTGGTATTGCTATTGTTGAATACCAATTCCTAAATATCCGAAATATTTAGTCGGGTATTAAAAGTTAAACCATTCATGGCCGCAAAACTACTTAATTATAAACACTTAATTGACACCATTTTGAAAATTCTTTTCTTTATAAAAATGTAGATAATATATTTGATGTTCCATAGTTATTTAGCGCACATAATTATTAGGTTAGTTCAAATGAAACAAAGAATTCTTTTGTCTAATATTCTTCCAGAATGTACGAGTCTACTGATAGCAATCGCCACACACGTAATACGTCAGAGTTAACAAGCTCTACAAACACGTTTGTTGTTGGATAAACATATTAGTGCCCGACGCTCGGTGGGCACAGTCATATGACTCCTCAGATTTACGAAGATAAACCTGTGTACACACTGTGCGTATATAATAAGGAATGTACAAAATTATGCTATATTTAAACATTAAAATAAATGAAGGCTTATCTTCATGTCCACGTTTCTTTTCTTTTTCTTGCTTAGTTGGTTGGACGAGCTTACAACCCACCTGGTGCTAAGTGGTTAATGGAACCCATAGACGTCTACAACGTAAATGCACCACCCACCTTGAGATATAAGTTCTAAGGTCTCAGGTACAGTTTTAAGGTACAGTTACAACGGCTGCCCCACCCTTCAAACCGAAACGCATTACTGCTTTACGGCAGAAATAGGCAGGGAGGTGGTACCTACCCGCGCGGACTCACAAGAGGTCCTACCATCAGTATTTTGATGGATATACTTTAAGTCAGCATTTATTTGCAGGGCCCATCATTCCATTTTGAAGGGTAGCACAGTGGTTAATTTGACTTCATATTTCAAAGAAGATAATAAAAGGTGGGTGGGCCTCGAAGTCGATTGCACTGCTACAGCAATAGAAAAAGACAAAAAATCTCGTAATAATTAATCTGTACTTAATGACATCATTGACAAAGTTAGAGGTTTAAAGACTACTGTCAGTAAATACATCGCCAAGGTGCTGCTGGTAGTAGATATTAGTTAATATTACGTTATTATTAACTTATTTCATTGACAATCTGGGTGGTTCTAACACTCTGTATGGGTAGCGGGGTTCCGAAACATCAGTATCAAATCCGAGATTCCTGGGTGAGAACTCTACTATTTGCTACAGCTACAAACTATTTGATGGGACTTTCAAGAGATCGCCAAATGTATGCTTGGAATTATCAACTAATATAGCTCCTAGGAATAAAATACTTAAATTATGAACTCGTAAACTATGATTTGATAAATATTCATGTTCTCTAATCTTATTATTTGCAAGTTCATTTATAATTTATTGTAAAAAAACTCTTCTAAGATTCTATGGATTGAGTCAGAGCTTATGTTGATTGTGGCAATATAATTAAAGTAATAGAGTGCCTTATGGCACATCAATTATATTTAATTTAATTTACAATAATAGGTATTATTAGTTACAACCTAATAATCTAGTAACTAGCCAATTTTATAGGAAATTCGACACTTAATTAAAATAATATAATCTTTGGAGAAGTCTTCACATGACAATACCAATGTAAACGTATTCGATTTGTGATAAATCTAAAGATGGTGAATCCCATAAAATTGCTTTCAGCGATACTACGCGCCTTAATGTTTAGATTGGAGGCTTTACGTAAATATCTTGAGCTGTCATCGTTCAGACACATGTACATGTAGCCTTATGGAATTATAAGCAGAAAACGGAGCGACGAGTGCATTGACGCCCAGACCATACAGCACGGAAACACTTCATTGACATAGGTGAACTTTTTGTTGAAACAACTAGTTCTGAAGTTTTACGTAGTGTCGTAACAGAGAGAGAGAGCAGATCAGGTAATTCATTTGGGTATTTACTTAATTGACGATTTTCGCGTCTGACTCGTAAGAACATTACGTCTCATGTTATGTTCGTTAAGTTGTTGCCAGGGTCCAAAAAAGGTAAGCATTTTCATATATTTTTTTCGGCTTTCTTGTTTTCTTTAATGGCCGAAATCTATTGATTAATATATTAAATGTAGTTTATGCAATCTATCTATCTTTCCAATCAAAGCGGAAGCGAATGCTTTCGTTATTAAATAGGATATTTTCGGCCCACTCAGTATTATGTGATTGAAATTAGTGTGAGTGCGTTCACCTACAATACCCACAATGTGCATATAAAAAAGTGGCATTGACTATTGTCAATAATAATGTCCTTTAATCTAAGTTGGCTTCTAATTGTCGGAACATACTCGTGAATTAAAAACAACCAATGAAATGCTTTGTATATATAAATATTTGCATATTTGAATTTCACCGAAAACCCTGTTCGAATCCAATCCTACGTTTGGTTCATGCTTTTGAAATTATCGAATATTTGTCGCAAAGAAAAATGTTAAATTGCAATATTTTTTTTAAATAGTAGATATAGAATATTGTAGAAGTGTAGAATGGTTTACCGTATCATGAGAGCTAGAGAAGAAAGAGCGAAAGATTTTAATCATGTTAGATGTATGAAAAATGAAACAGGTAAAGTTTTAATGAAAGATGAGGAAATAACAGAGCGCTGGAAGATATACTTTGAAAAATTTGTGAACGAGGATAACGACTGGAATAGGATGATTAATAGGAAGCCAGATAAGATTTTGAAGTCGTCGTGGCCTAAAGGATAACAAGTCCGGTGCATTCATATCTAGCGGTGGAACAGTGTTCGAATCCCGGACGGGTACCAATTTTTCTAATGAAATACGTACTTAACAAATGTTCACGATTGACTTTCACGGTGAAGGAATAACATCGTGTAATAAAAATTAAATCCGCAAATATATAATTTGCGTAATTACTGGTGGTAGGACCTCTTGTGAGTTCGCACGGGTAGGTACCAGCACCCTGCCTATTTCTACTGTGAAGCAGCAATGCCTTTCGGTTTGAAGGGCGGGGCAGCCGTTCTAACTATACCTTAGAACTCATATCTCAAGGTGGGTAGCGCATTTACGTTGTAGATATCTATGGGCTCCAGTAATCACTTAACAAAAGATGGGTTGTGAGCTCGTCCAACCATCTAAGCAATAAAAAATTAAAAAGATAACGTCAGGCTTGTGAATGAAATTAGCGTGCATGAAGATAGAGAAGCAGTGAGAAATATGAAAAACGGAAAATCGGAAGGGCCAGATCGTATGCCAATGGAAGTATCGAAGATACTGGGAGAAGACGGATATAAGTAACTGACTTTATTCATCAATAAGCTGCTGCAAGAAGAAGTGATCCTTACGGAGTGGTAACAAGTACACTACACTGATGCTCATATATAAAAATAAAGGGGATGTGCAAGCCTGTGGCAGCTATCGGGGAATAATGCTTATGTCACATAGTATAAAAGTTTGGGAGAAAGTGATAGAGAAGCGATTGCGAGATGAAAGTGAGATCACCCAAAACCAGTTCGGGTTCATGCCTGATCGCGGGACAACGGACGTCATATTTGCACTCCGCCAAATGTGCGAAAAATATCGCGATGCGAAGTTGAGAAGCGCTTGTTTGGGATGGTATAGACATAATGTGATGAGACGAAATAACAATGAGGTTGTTAAGAAAGTTTTAACTATGAGTGTGGAAGGCTTTAGAAGAAGAGGTAGACCTAAGAAGAAATTGATGGATTGCGTGAAAGATGACATGTGTAAGTAGGGAGTGAGTGGAGAGATGGTATATGATGAAGGAGTGTGGAAAGAGAAAACAGGTTACGCCGACTCTAGATGACTGGTAGAAGGGTAGGAGAATGATGATGTTATGTAGAATATAAACCGTAAATTAATCCACTGGCTGTTATTTCTCTCATGAATGCATCGTTTTTAAACTTTTAGACTTTTACTTAATCTCGAAGATGTCACTAAACTTGAATAAAATTATAATACCATAAGATCGTTGTTACTAAATTCTATGTTGTCGTTAATTGTCATTATCTCCATGTGTTTTCAATATCGAAATAAATAAATATTTAAATATCTAAAAAACGCAATAGCAGTAAATGTTTTGAAAACATTTGGTTTATGATCCGGTACGTGTTATGGACGCAGAAATAAAAATAATTAGTGGCTAAATCTCAGAGAAAGACTTTTTTATATATTTTTTTGCTTCGATTTTGCTTAGACGAGCTCACAGCCCACCTGGTGTTAAGTGGTTACTGGAGCCCATAGACATCTACAACGTAAATGCGCCACCCACCTTAAAATATAAGTTTTAAGGTCTCAGGTTCAGTTACAGCGGCTGTCCCATCCTTCAAACCATAACGCATTACTGCTTCACGCCAGAAATAGGCGGGGTGGTGGTACCTACCCGTGCGGATTCGCAAGAGTTTCTACTACCAGTAATTACGCAAATTATAATTTTGCGGGTTTGATTTTTACTACACGATGTTATTCCTTCACCGTGGAAGTCAATCGTGAACATTTGTTGAGTACATATTTCATTAGTAAAATTGGTACCCGCCTGGGATCGGAACACCTGCATCTTTTGATATTTTCTTCATTGCTGGAAGATTGAAGAATGCAAGCTATTCAGAAAATGTTAAGCTTCCTTAACTCCAGCTATGCCCTTTATTCCAAAATGAAATTAGACATTTGATGGAGGGTTAAAATACCTCAGGGTTAAAATATTGTAGAGTTTCCTATTGAAAACAATGCAATAGGAACCTTAAAATAAGCGGAAAAGTCACAGCTCAACTCGACCCACAAGTTCATATGCGCTAACGGATAACTTCCTTTGAGCAGTGGAAGAAAATATAATAGTAATTAACGTGGAAATTCGTATATTTCCCGGCAGATTAAGTAAGCTATGAAGCTTTAGTTTTCTTCTAATTGATATTAAACGCAAATCACGCAAAACTCCACGGTCTTCTTTAAGCGTCCACTCCATATTTAAAAATGAGTGAAAATTCTAAAAGTATACATTTTTATTTTCATGAACAATTCGAAATTCGAATTCAATAAACTTTTTTGTGGCCAGCATTCTAAAAAAAAAGTTTTTACTGTGTGACAATACTTATGACCTGACTAGTTATTTAGGTAATGTATAAACAAATATCCTTCCAGATACGAAAATATGCTTCGATTTATTGTGTGTTTGGCTGTTTTAATTCCACGAATCGAATGTGGAGGTTATGACGTCATCGAAGATGAGCTACGAACGAAGAGGCAAATAAATAGTTTACCACTCGTATATCCATATGGAGGTACTTATAAGGTGATTTTTAAATATTACACTGCTTATTTTACTGTATATTATATTTGCTCATTCCTAATATCGTTCCCAAATATTGGACATAGCCATTCTGTTTGGCATAAGATAAAAGGGATTTTACGATAATGTAAAAGTTTTTATAAAATAATAAGCTTGAATGGTGTTTCAATAAGTTTTATGATTTAGTATCGCTTATCGAACCGATCGTAGGATGTATTGTGATCTAGCAATGGTAAGTACCACCATGCAGCCAATTACTACCGTAAGGCGGTCTTGTGCACCATTAGTATAATATAATAGCTACTGTTACCGCACGTCTATATAGCATCCTTCTAGTATCTGTGAATGAGGCAACCATTTATTTAGCAGATATTTTTTTAATTCGTCTGTCCGTACTGTATAATGGCTGTCACGATCTTCGAATATGAACGCGGAGCGCTCAACCATCATTTCTATATTTTCACAGTGAAGCATTTTTTTTCTCAATCTTACCGAAACGATTTCTTTCACAGCTACTGATAGGCTTCTCGTCTCCAATCAAGACGCAAGACAACGTAGCTCTTCTGTTTGCTGCAAACTTCCAGTATCAATACGTTCAATTCGCGAATATTTCGGAACTGTCACAGTACTATGTTTATAAAGAAGTCACAAGAGAACAGAGAGATGCTGATATAGCCGCTAGGAGAGATGAAAGATATGTTTTCTATAAGTCTTTCGCTGATCTTTTGACTGCGTGAGTATTTCTCATACCGATGCAATTTGTAAGTTCCAATGAGTTCGTAACTTGTCCTTAAATCCTAAAATGGGCAATTATATTCAGTCTATAACTTCGACATAAATAAAACCAGAAATCGATTTGTAAATTGATCACGTTTCGTGGTATTTAGGTGAATACTGTTTAGATCTAGAAAGTTTGAAGGAATGTTCACGTTATAATGATTGTTTCGATACGATATCCATTACGAGCTGAATCCTAGGTACATGTACACGTGTTTTAAGTGTTTACTGGAGTTCATAGACATCACATCTCAGGTGCAGCTGCGCACCTTGAGACATTGAGGGTTGGGGCCTTGGGGCTGAAGTCTTAATTGCATTGTAAAGCGATAGTCCCATAATTTTGAGTAGACCAAACTGACACACATTATTACTCAGCAGCAGCTCAGCTCAGCAGCAGCGACATACAAGATGCTGGCTCACAATATCCCATTCTACCAGTTAATGCCGATTAGACGTAATATACGCTCCGAAGAATTCCTTACATATGTTATCAATATAAGGGATATTAAAGTAGGTCAACATTTGGCAATGACCAAAATCAAATCTAACTATAATCATATAGTTAAGCGGAGTTATCAATGTTTAAGGCAACAATAGCCTTTGATAACGTTTGTGGGGACGTCACGGGGATTATTAACTTTTTTAATTTACTGATATTTTTGTTTCTGTCATCTCTTTGAAGATAAAAAAATATAGAAAATGTGGATATTAAATTACTTCATCAACAATTATTATTGCTTGCTGACCGTAAATTGCACTTGATCATTTAGAAATCAATGTGTAGTATAAGGCCTTAAGGTAATTTAGCCTTCCGTTGTTCACGTTTTTTTTTATTTTTTTTTTTATTTTTTTATTGCTTAGATGGTTGGACGAGCTCACAGCCCACCTGGTGTTAATTGGTTACTGGAGGCCATAGACATCTACTACGTTAATGCGCCACCCACCTTGAGATATAAGTTCTAAGTTCTCAGTATAGTTACAACGGCTACCCCACCCTTCAAACCGAAACGCATTACTGCTTCACGGTAGAAATAGGCAGGGTGGTGGTACCTACCTATGCGGACTCACAAGAGGTCCTACTACTAGTTTTTAATCTCAAGAAAGCAGTGTGTCTTAATGCGATCAGTTTATTTTTACATTCAGACAAACTTTAATAACAATTTACAATGCTGTTCAGAAACCAGTATCCTGAATCAGTGAAAAAAGTTCATTGCTCTAAAGATATTTCGTTTTGGGCATCGTTTTGCTCGGGTCTTATTAAGTTAAGGACTTTTATTTGAAAGGAAGGGATTTAACGGCTTCGATTGCGTACTGCGAGCTATTTGTGAAGCAGCTCAATATCCAGTGGAAGACGAAGGCTTCGTTGGAGAAATCCTACACATTTTGCTGACGTAAGTATTACAATTTTTTATTACTAATCAAGGCTTGGTCAATTCTAGAATTACCAGGCTAAATTAACATCTAAATATACTTCACTTGTAATATTTTCATAAAATGTGACATTAATAGTTATTTTTGGACATGCCGTTCTGTAATTAAAGTTACTTTTACGACTTAATCTTGGTTTTTCGAATAATTCACAGCTTTCATAAGTAGTTTAATTCTATTTACGACTCACTAAAACCGAAGGAAATACCAAATCATTGTATTTACAAAACAAAATCTAGCAATCCTCGCAAGTGATTTTGTCTGGCATCTCCCAAGCATACAAGGTTTGCTACTTCTGCTTATGATGCATTTATATGTAACCCAGACTTCTACCTTATATGTTAAGGAGAAATAGGGTATTCAGTTCATAAACAGTACTCTTCCACGGGTTTTTTGCCACGATTTTTACTTTAAATCGGTTCCAGATATAGCTTAGCGCTCTTCCAAACGCCATGATTATGTCTAGACATTAGTAGTGTTCATAAGATAGATAGAGTCATAAAATAGCTACGAAAGCTTAAGCCAATTTAGGTTGTGGTATCTATGGGCTTTTAGCTTACCGATGATCATTAAACCAATCTTCGATTTGTCTTCACGAATAATTAATATTCCCATTAAACGTAAGGCCGATATCTTTATTTAGTTTCGCATGGTCCGATTCATTTTCTTGCTTTGATTGACAATCTGTCGCTGTCGTCTCAGCTGCCATTATCGACCAATGCAAGAGTGATGGATTTCAAATATAATAACAGTATCAATAGCTTAGTGTATTTCCTTTTTTATTGTTTAGACAAGTAGGTGGGATACGAGTTACCAGTGGTGTAAAGCGGTCACCGAAATCCAAAGACATTACCACGTGCATTCCGTTTTTTTTATTGTCTTTGTAGGCAGACTAGCACACGGCCCACCTGATGGTGAGTAGTTACCGTCGCCCATGGACTTCAGCAGTGCCAGGGACATATGAAGGGAATATGAAGTCGAGGTCTTAATTGTGCTGTAAATATAAGCAGGATGGTGGTATAAACTCCTACTGGCTTACAATATCCCTTATTATGAGTAAAGCCACGTTGGCGATCGCAGTACTTTAATTTAGCCCTCAGTGAACGATGCTGCGCATTTTACTGTGAATCCCTTAGTGGCCGCCCATTGGAAGAGATGGGGAGTAGTGCTACTCACAACCAGACTTGCCATTTACTGGTGGTAGGACCTCTTGTGAGTCCGCACGGGTAGGTACCACCTCCCTGACTATCTATGTCGTGAAGCAGTAATGCGTTTCGGTTTGAAAAGTGGGGCAGCCGTTGTCACCATACTGAGACTTAGAACTCATATCTTAAGGTGGGTGACCCATTTACGTTGTAGATGTCTATGGGCTCCAGTAACCACTTAAGATCATGTGGGCTGTGAGCTCGTCCACCCATCTAAGCAATAAAAAAATATTGCCATTCATGAATTAACTTAACCTTCGTCTGATTTTAGCCCAGACTACGGTAAAACTCCGTTTGATGAACCAGATCCGGACTGGGAGGATATGATGTCACCGTACATCGACGCTGCAACAGCAGGAAGACAAATGTTCAACTGCGCTTCGATATATAGCAGTTGCCCCGAAGGACAGGGCGTTTTGGAACTCATCAGTGCTTTAAGAGATGAATAGGAATATAATGTAATACATTTTTACAGACGCGTGTCCTGGTCTCAAAAACAAACTAGTATCCCAGTTGCTTTGTTTATAATTGATGAGAGATGTTAAGTAGTTAACTCTTGTTTTCATGTTATTTTCAATTAATTTTTTTGTCGTACTGTTAACATTTAAATGTATTGCTGTAACATTTCATAGTGTGTTATAAGAGATTGTTGTACATGCCTGTAACTGGCTTACATACCAGCACTTAATTTTATACATGTTAATTTTAAGCTTGAATGTTTTGTGTGTATTGCTGTTGGTGTGTCTAAATAAATAAATCAATAAATAGATGTCCAAAAAAATTCATCTTCTTCTGTCGCCCTGTTCTTCTGATTAGATACGCGATTTAAATACTTTAATGCGGGAGACAGTTCAATTATTGTTGGCATTCTATCCTTTCACTGGACTTGTGAATTTCATGCAGTAGCATTTTTCGCAACAGTCACGTAGTCTATAATCATCATTCTCCGTCATACCATGGTCTAGGCAGTCATCAGACCCGTACATCTGTAGGAGACTATACCGGAAAAAATCGCCCTTATCAGGCTAGCGAACAAAAAGTTTTATGTCATTCGCCGACTCTGGCAACATGCTCTGAGTTTGCCTTGACAATACCTATAACCGCACGTTTACCAATAATAGAAAAATTCTAAAATAAATTCGAATAATTGATATAAAACCGTAATGGCTGGTTGAAATCTTGGTTTAGTCTTAACCGGCCTATAAGAATGAAGTATTCTTATATTAAAGTTTTGTACGTATATATAATTGCTCTAATACAATATTATTGTTTTGATAATATAGTTAGAGATAAAAATTATTCTCGTAATTAGTATTAGCGCCTATTATTTTAAACTTATGACTATTTTTCCTGTGACTACAGATGTAAATATGCGGAAATATAAACAATACATTCTTGTGATTATTAAATAAAAGAAAATAATTTTCGGTTTTTCAATTATTTTTATGCAACATCAGTGAACTGCGACACTTCTAATACTGAGAAGGGGCACGAATTTATGGAGTTTTGACATTCTGTTTCCGTTTTATTGTGCCATTTGTCTGTAGACGATGATTGACGCCTGAAACAAGAAAATTGATAGTAGTACAATATAAATACAGTGAGTTTTTGTCGTTGGCATTTGGATAATAGTGAGACCGGTGAGTGATCGGACTAATTTCAATGACAGTATGAAGAGTAGGTTCGAGGATGTTCAGCAGTAATCACGAAGGAGATATCGTCCTTTCGCAGTAAAAATGTACAATTTCCAAAAATCTTCGAAATTGAGTTAATATGCGGAATCATTTGGTATCACCAGTATTTTTCTCATAAATACTGTCAAAAGAGCGTTGTTTAGTTTTAGTTTTTTTTTTTTTTGGTTTACCCTTATTTTGACTACTATTAACAAAATTAATACATAATTTTATCTTACTTTAAAAGACAGATCGTGTAACTGGTAAAAAAAAAAAAGTTGCAAAGATGATTAATATTAAAAATATCACATGTTAAACCTTTAAAACAATCTCCTGTAAAATTAGTAAGTTTTGAGATTATACAGTTTTAATGCGAGAAGACGATATGCGGGCTTTGGTTAGATTGATTACCCAGCTCCGTTCATGAGTTCGGCTTTCGTTATTAGCTAAAAAGAAAAAGCTAATGTAGCTATGCGAGCTATATGTTCACAAGATTATATCCATAAATTAGGTAATCTAGTAATCCTAACAATTTTTTTGTTAATACTATATAACTATATAATAACTACTTATTTAGTTAATACTATATAATAACTAAATCACTACATAGTATAAAACAAAGTCGCTTTCTCTGTCCCTATACCTGTCCCTATGTGTGCTTAAATCTTTAAAACTACGAAACGATACGATTTTAATGCGGTTTTTTTGAAGTGAAAACTTCTTTAGAATCGTTGTGATTTCAAACCGGATGCAACGGAAAACACGACAGGTAAGAGACACAAATACAAAAATGTGTAGGATGAAGCCAGCAAAGAATGAGACAGATATATACATACTATTTAATACAGCGCCATCTGTGAGATTTTTTAATACTAACGTGTGTATGAAAGTTCTTGTAGTGAATTTTAATTTAGGATTATACGTGAAATTAAAATATCAATTCACAGAGGGCGCTACCTTACAATTATTTACTAATGACAAAATTTTACATATACTTAAGACGTTTAGGATAATTGTATTTTAATTTTGGAAGGTTTCACTTCTACCACGTGTGAATTGCACACATTTTGTTTTTTTAATAGATAGTGTGATTGAAGAGGAAGGTTTATATGTATTTATAATAACATCCATTAAATAGTGGAAAAATTAATAATAAATTACAGTTTCCGAAGCGAAGCGAGGGCGGGTCGCTAGTAACAAATAAAACGAAAACTACAATAAAATCTAAAAATGTTCTTTCAACCTGTGGAATTGTGTTAATATACACCATAGTCTATATATTAATACGTGAAGCAAAAACTTTGTATCCCTTTTTACGAAAATTGCGCGGACGGAGGAGTATGAAATTTTCTACACTTATAGAGAATATGGAGAAGAAGTGCACAATGCTAATATTTTTTTTAAATAATGCATAAAAGATACATTAAATCAATAAAGAAAACATTACACACACTACATACCATGTATTTGACGCACACACGCATGCATACTATTTATTGTCAAACTTTTGTTCTTGACGTCTGTTGTCAAATTGAGAATAGATTAAATATTGTTTGTCTTTATTCATATTTTTTTATAGTGTACCCTTGGCGAAATTTGTGATTATAGATGTATAAAATACAATAATAATAGTGTACAAAATTACAATTAAAATTAATTATAGTCGAATTTCGACTACTGCGGGACCTCTAGTTCAGTTAATTTGAGCATCTGATTTCAATGACGTAATAAGATAATCTTGAGCCAATATTTGATGTTTGTTTCAACTAAATTGGTTGACAGAGATAATATTAGATTACCCACACCGAGAAAGCTACTCAATACGAAATAACTCTTTATTTCAATTCAACTAACTTTGTTTTCTAATTTGTACTTTAGCTTTTCGTTACTAGTAATTTAAATATCTAAGGCCAATCAATCCCATGCGCTGGTCCGATCAGATTAAGACGACTTTGGAATCCAGCATCAATGTCGCTATCCACTGCGCGGAGGACAGAAGTGAATGGAAGAACATAGTCCTGACAAAAGTGCTCAGTAAAGGTCACGACCCTCAGAACTGAGGAATACGACGCACGGAGGAGGAAGGTACAATTTTGTTATTCTGTTCAGAAATATTATAGGTCCGTAAATTGCTGTATTCGTAATGTATATTATTATATTAATTTAATTTATTATATTAATGTAAATGTTTCCGTACTAATTTGCTTGTATAATAAAAAAAATTGTTGGTGATTTGTAACGTATTTCATATCTGATTTAGAATAATTTGAACCTATCACATTCATTTTTAATGTGTTACTAGCTGACCCGGCAGACTTCGTAGTGCCTCACTCGATAAATAAAAGACCTAAACTTTTGTATAAAATAAACTTAAAACAAACAAAAGGAAACCGTCTGACGGGGGACAGATCAAAGGAAAAACAAAATTGTTATTTTTATTTAATTCCGAAAATTTTCATATTTATGTACCTTTTAAACCTTCTCTGGACTTCCACGAATAATTTAAGTCCAAAATTTGCCAAATCGGTCCAGCCGTTCTCGATTTTTAGCGAGACTAACAAACAGCAATATATACATATATAACTATATATAGGTAGATAATAACGGTATTAGAATGCGTAAATATTATAGCACATACATGCTGCAATTAAATCTTGGTCAAATTGGTTTTGAATTCAAATGGAAAATAAAGAACATTTGAATTGGAAATTCATTGTAACCTCACCTAAAAACCATTTTTAAAATCCTGTGATATATTTCGGTGGGCTGCGAGATCATTTCCATTTCGCAAATAGCTCGTCTCACGCAATGGAAGCCATTAAGGCCGTTCCTGTAAATAATGACTTAAAATATACCCAAAACAAAATATATGAGACTTTATGATTGGTTATAAAGCGGTTGAAACGATGGATAATTATATTTTAGAATAGAAGCTAATCTTCTCACTTGTCTTGTTCTAAGCTCACTTTGTTTTTATCATAGTCGAGTACGTGATGACGCAGTGTCTATAACAGATGAAAATCTCCAAAATATTTCAATACCCTGCCTTTAGACTGTATATTGTATTGATTCTTGGTATAAGTAAGTAGGATAATGGTAACAATGGACGGAATTAGAAAACGCCCTTGGACCAGAAAAGTTTTGGTAAATCGAAGATGAAAGAAGCAGATCATTGTGAAAAAGATACTGTTACTACTGGTTGGTTGAGGCAGTTTAATATAAGTACTTAGAAATCGTTTATGGATAAACAGTTTTCATTGAGTAATAGGATGTCATTCAGTTGATTGTGAACTATTTCTAGAACATGAGACGTATGTATTCACTACCGTTTTTTTTTTTTTTTAATTTACTGGTACATTATGTCACTAAGTTTGCTGGGGACCACACTTTTTTCAAGGGAATCTATATTAGAGTTCGATAGTAGGGTGACTAAATATGATACCTGTCCAAGACTGTTTCCATATGACGATAAAGGTCTCGTCTGTAAAGTCTATGATAAGGATGAAAGGAGTCTGGTGGCTCATCCCAATTCACACGGAAACCGACTGCTTGGGCAAAAAGCTGATTCCACGGCACCATATTAGCTTTGAAATTCACACGGAGCTGTAAAAATGAAATTTAACAATATTAATATGATTAGAAGACTCTCTATAACTCACAGTTAAGTGAGCAACATTTAGCGAGCGACATTTGTCAGCGTGATCATTTCGTGAATGAAAAAAAGTAAATAGAACAAGAAACTAAATTAAAAGATACTCACAAAGAAATGGGATATATTCCTGAAGCTCAGATATCTTCGAAATCTGTTGTGGGTATTGTTGGCCTCTCCGGAAGTAATCAAGAAGAACACTATCGCACTGACGTAACACAGTAAAACTAAACCGAAAACTCTGTTCATAATAGTTTGCTTTTACTAAAACACAATTTAATAAATACCTTTTGAAAACTAGAAAATTGTTTAAGTGGGGACTTAATGGAGAAACGGTCCGTGTTAAATTGTGTTATATTGTATTGTAGCAATGTTAATAAATTTGAATGGATGTAAAACTCAAATATATAAGGATCAGATTTGGGCAATCTTATCTATCTAATTTACATAGAGATTTTTATTTACACAACTTGACTTTTTTATTTTGGATGTCATTCAAATTTTAAGATAAAATTAACGACAACAGCCGCCATTGGAAATAAAATGAAATTAATTTCACTCCTTTGTAAAATAATATGTAACTTGAAATTTAATACAACTACCTTAATGAAAATATTAAAGTGGCAACAATAATTTAATTTTGAAATGATATAAAGGCCCATTAGACGTTGGAAATGATCTGCAGCTCTAACTTGGTCGAAAAAAAAAAACATTTAAATCCTACAATTCCGTGTCTGTTGAATGCCCCACTTTTCCCAAAATAGGCACCAAGAAAAGCACAGAACGGTGTAACAAACGGAGTGATAAAGAAAACGACATTTTGAAACTAGCTGTTTATTTTTAAGTAGGTTTTATTTGGCGTATTGTTTATCGCGGCGTGTGCCCGACCTAATACACTTTCAGAAATTTTTGTCAGGTCATATACAGGGTGATGGATAAGATAATTTTCTTCAGTTTCTTTCTTAAGGTGGATTGCAGCATTCCAAGTTGCGATTTCTATTAGCTTCAGAAGCCACATCACACCAGATTGGTCGTAGCCTTAATTTTTCAATCGATGCTAATTGAAAATGCTTCTGAAGAAAAGCTCCCTAAAAATGTATATGTTGCAAAAATTACACCAACGAATAAATATATATTAATGAAACGATAGAATATTACATCGTCTAGATCACCACTTATACGCTTGGTTGTATTTAAGGTCGCGGACATCCTCGGTGTCAACCCAAATTCCTGTTTACAGCTGAAGAATATGTTCAAATGATGTTGCTTACCTTTCCTTATCCGTTACAGATATCCATTTGGCCCGTTAGACACAAATTGGCATCTGTAAAATACTCCCTTTACACGTTACTAATAAAGACAGATATGTCTTTATTAGTATATGATATGATAATATCGTCCATAAATAATTGAAAACAGTATTGAAATTCCCTAAGAAAAATCTTTTATTACGAAATAATTGTAAGTTGTTAAAACTATTTTTTTTCTTACGTGACAAATTTTAATCGGGCTGTATAATTTAAATAACAGTTCCATATTTACTGGTCGTGATTAACGGTACTTCATCGAAAGCCGATAATCTTGCATTGTAATCCCAAACTGTAGTCCCGTGTTGCTCCACCAAAACTAATTTTCAACGGAATTACTTGCAAAATGGTTGCAATCCCGACGACTTTCAAGTTATTGCTGTTATTAGTTTACTCCGTGGAAATGCAAATTATTGAAGATGTCAACAAGAGCGGTGGAATTGAATTACATGGAAGAAATGAAATATTGTCGAGGAAAAAAAGATTCATCATATTCCCCGAAGGAAGCTCTTTCCAGCTTGGTGAGTCCGAGAAAGTCAATGAGTTTATATTGCTTGCTATTTATTATTTGGAATTTTACAAATGGAAATTGTTTTGTTACTTAAATACTAATGCGTTGGGGCTTTGAATTTTTTTCCTGCTCAATATGTATCTCAAAATTATTATTTAAAGAGTAAATTGCGATATAATAGACCTCCTGTCCAAAGCTTTATAAAACTGTAGGTTTCAATAGTCGTTTCGCAAGTTTACTGTGTAACGTTTGAAGATTAATTAGTGGATTCCATAGCGGATTTTTCATCTACAAATTTCATTTATAGTAAAAAATCTATCTAATACAATTTTTTTTTTATCTCACAACAATAAACATTTTGTTCCAGTATTTTGTACGACATTTCCATTGGTATCACCGATCGGAGATATTGTTCTGTGGGGATACACAGCGGCCTTAGCCTGGGAATTACCTCAGGATCCGTATTCACCGTTCGATCATCACGCCGACCCTTTGCATAGGCGAATGGATTCCAAAGTCGTGTATTACACGGACGAAGATGGAAAAGTTATATACAGAAGGCCTTACAAGAGGTATTAAATAGGAAACTATCATTAATAATAATATCATTAATAATCTTGTCCTAAGAGATTCTCTGTTTAATTAAAATGAATGTTACTGTTTGCTTTCACATAATAATATAATTAACGAGTCGATTGACAGATTAAAACTTTTGCTATAATTTAATATTGGAATCAGAGTGAATCCCAGTAACTTAAGGCACGATAACTGCTTTAACGCGTGATTCATATAATACATTCAAACTTAAATAATTTGAATCAACTCAAATTTCTCAAGAAAAACTTTTCATATTGCAAAGCGTGCTGACAGGTTTCTGAAAGAAAGAGTATTATCGAGTTTGAAGCACTTTTGTGTGATTTTAAATTAAATACTTACCGGTGGTAGGACCTCTTGTGAGTTCGCACGGGTAGGTACCACCACCCTGCCTATTTCTACTGTGAAGCAGCAATGCCTTTCGGGTTGAGGGGCGGGGCAGCCGTTGTAACTATACTGAGACCTTAGAACTTATATCTCAAGGTGGGTGGCGCATTTACGTTGTAAATGTCTATGGGCTCCAGTAATCACTTAACACCAGGAAGGCTGTGAGTCTACCCATCTAATCAATAAATAATAATTTTTTTCTGTATGAAGTAAGCGATGATGAGAAAAAAAATTGTGTCTTGTGTTCTTTATTGTTTTTCAAAATATGATATGTTCACCAATATATTAGAATTAATCAAATCTATAAACATCCCAACCTTCTATTTAGATTTACGTGCTATGGTAAAATACACATTAATATGGAGTTTAAAAAGCTTTAAGACAAACCGCACGAAAATATACGAAAAATATGCATGCATTTTAAAGCTCGACGCAAACTAATACTGTCCGCAAATGAACTTTTTAGGAAAGCTATCGTGAATCCTGCATTCGCGAAACGAAGCGTCGACGTGGACGCATCGCAAATAGAAAAAGAGAAATACGGAATAGACAGGAAACAGATGCATGCCTCGAAAAACAGGCGCGCGATTTTGAATAGCACCGACTATGAGCAACAGACCGTTGAATTCCACAGGACCAGTCGCGTATCGCTCTACCAGAAAATTGAGACAATGCTTCAAGGGTATGTTAATATTGGTACTGAATTCTTTTTTAGCTTAAGTTTCAATTTAATCTTATAAATTATTTTTTAAACGTTCTCATATTTTTATCATCATTAATTTCTGATATTATTTCCAAAGAACTATTTATTTCGTTTGTTATTTAAATTTTGTAAAACATAATCTAATATATAAAATTCTCGTGTCACAATGTTCGTTCCCATACTCCTCCGAAACCGCTTGACCGATTCTCATGAAGTTTTTTATGCATATTCAGTAAGCCTGAGAATCGGCTACTATCTATTTTTCATACCCTTAAGTGATAAGGGTTGTCCACCCCTAAGATTTATTTTTAATTTTTTTGACAATTTTTTTTTTGTTATAATGAGACATTATGTGGTTGAATGAGGTATTGTTATTTTTATATTCCTTCATCGTTCACAGCGCTACATGTCTCTTTCACTCATCTACCATATCCTTACACACTTACAATAAGTTAGTTTTTTTTTTCTACACTAGAAACTCCCTAGAAATCTTATATATGGCAAAACAACGTTTGCCGGGTCAGCTAGTTATAAATAAAATCAAGAATTTAATAGTAAGAAATGTTAATTTGAATATGTAGTTAACCGACTTAATGTTATAAGGCATTCTTCATAAAGTGCCTTATAACCTGTATAGAGATGAGAGATTCAATAGGGCCACAAGAAACTACTAGACGAGATTTTTATTCACTAAATAATATATTCATATGTTGTCATCGATTTTTGTTATTTTGGTTCACAAGTGCCTACTATGTCAATTTTAAATTGCTCGTCGGATACACACAATTACATATATAAGTAAGAAATGTCATTAACAGTACATAAAGATGTAGAGCTAGTTTCTGGTGAATCAACAAATCTTTTATAAATCCGAACGATTCCAGACTCGGAGCCAATGGCAAACACTGCATGTTGAAGACATTATGTATAGTGGGGAAGACAAATGACCATCCCCAAGGAGCTTTCTTACAGGAGATACTGAGGGCCGTGTTCACGTAAGAATTATTATGGAGCTTTATCGACACTCAAGTTTCATTAAGTTTCGTTGACGCCTGACGTAAGAATTATCGCTGTAGGGACGATGCTTGGTATTGTTAGACATTGAGAGAAAATTAATTGGTATGTAATGTACTTATAGTACGTAAGACTTATTTTATGGAATATGATGTGTAGCACGATGAGCCAACTGACGTGCGTCGCGATTATAATTTATTTTCAAATTTTAACTTTGACTATTTTAAAACTAACCTCTTTTGAAAATAATTAAAAAAACAAACAGGAAATGACAAATTTAATTTTCTCGTAAAAGGTGTAAAAACCAATAATATCATTAGAGAATGAATTACTTAATCAAAAAAGGGTAATAGTATTTAACAAATTTTTTTTTTGGGAATTGCCGTTTGTGATCTGTAATGAAATGTAAGTACGCGATTATGAAATTTAAATAAAATACATTTCAGGTTACCACAGGGAGGTTCGGATGAATTTCAAAAAGAATATGAAGCAGCACACTATGCGAAAGAATCCTGCGATGAGTTGTATCCAGATTGTGACCAAACTGTTCTGGAAGCTAATTATCCTACGTTGAGCTATTGAATATAATATATGTATATACAACACTGCGTATCCGATTTTTATCTTCATTTGCCCATCGTTCTGAAATGTTAACCACTATGAAAAACAAATTTAGGACTAATCGAAAAATATAGGTATAGACTATTAATGCACTTTATGAGTCCATATGGGTGTGTACCACTATACAATCTATTTCTGCGATGAAGTAGTCATGTTGTCAGTTTTGTTGAATATGGCAGCCATACAGTACAATTGTTCTTGAATTTCATGTCTTAAGACGGATGGTGACATTAACATTCCGATGTTTTTCAACTCATGTACCTGGTGGGATTAAAGAGATTGTCGCTGAAAAAAGTTTATTTTTATAGGAGACTTTATTTATCTGTTTTAAATTTTGTTTTGTTTTTTACTTTTACTACTACTTTAGATTCAGTTTTAATTGATTGCATTTTATTCTATGCATAGTATTCTAAAGGTATCTAAGCATCTAAGATCCTTTTTGGTTACATACTAATTTTGTGTCCTCATAGGTCTAGTGGGCTCTATCTGCTGCAGTTCAGACTAACATTAATGCAATTATTTGCAGATTTATTTTTTAAGTATATTTTACTTTGTTATCTAATTTTGATAATTAAATATACCATCTTCTCTAAATTACAGTTATTTCTAGCATGAAGAAATAACAATATATAATATACTATCTGTATCTTTACTGGCGAATCTCTAAATGTATTTTATTAAAATAAAACTAATGGATTTCTTGTATACGTATTTTTACGGAAAATAAAATTATTTAGTGCTGTGCTTGATTTTATTGTCCAACATAAGAGAACTGCCAGATATACACAAAAGTTTTAAGAGGCAAGACACGCATATTTTGACCTGTATTTTTTTAGTTTTCGTTTATTGTTTTTTCAACACCAAAATTTAAATATTGGTTACACGAAAATAACAGTAAAGCGTTTGACACTGACGATGTTAATTGGTGTTTCATTTTTGCACTTCACAAGTTCTACAATGAGCCAGGGAATGAGGCAGTGCGTTTTGTGTTTTGTCACTGACAGCTTTAGAATTAGTTTTACAGAAAAAAACCGAAGTATTCGTAATTTACAATTTGTACAGTCAAAATCTGTGGTTCGTAGTTAAATAAGTTTCATTTACTTATGAATAAAATGATGTTAGGCGTGGTTTTCTGGTTAATCTTGTCGCTTAGTGAAGTTTTTAGTGAAGATATACGCGAGAATGACTATTCTGAGAGCACAAAAGTCCTGTCGAGGCGCAAAAGGTTCTTGGTATTTCCAGAAGGCAGCTCCTTACAACTTGGTGGGTAGCATCTTAACTAAAAGCGTGAAGTTAGTACTCAAAAAGTTTCACAAAACTCATTGTACTCGCTTTTGCATAGAAATGTATAATGCTTTTACTGCAGTCTATTTGCATATTCTTTACCTGAATGTGTATGCAAAAGTTTTTCCTCCTTAAATTATCTGAAATAGGTTTTTATTTTTAAAACGAATATTCTAGATTATAATTAATTATTATCTACAAATATGAAATATTTTAGTAGAGGATCAGTAGAGGCCAAGACAGATTTTCTTATTTTTATATTCAAAATTGTTTCATACTTCTATTTACTTTGTCCAGACTGAATTTCTGTGGTAAAATAAATAAAGTACATATTTGTATTTAAATCACTTGCCGGAAAATAAAGAAATTAATTAAAACATAAATTTACGATTATATTACAAGCTCTCAGGTCCTCCAGTCCTAAGTTCTAGATTATGAAAGAATATGTAAAATGACGATATAGTAACAATTTCGGTTTCATTATGCATTAAAAAATTTGCAAATCAGCATCATTACCCAATGGTAAGGATTTTTCAAAATATTTCTACATTGCCGCATACATCACCAACGTAGCATGTTCACACATGAGAATTATTTTGGGTAGCATTTATTCCCTCCCCCTCCTCGAGTCGTTCCCGTAGGTACTGATGAGGATCTTGGCTTCAACGGAAACGCTCCAGCAAACTCCACTTGCTTGATGGAAAATCTTCGGCTTGATGGAAAACCTGCAGCATTGGCATTTTGAGTTAATCGGCTATTTGGTCTGACTAACGCTTAGGCCTTCTTCCCCGCGGTCTTTTACTAATGTTTATCAGAAAAATAGAAAAAAAAACAACGCGATGGGAGAAGCCGATGACTAGCTTTTTTGATGCCAAGTTTTTATGACAACAGAAAAATAGTAAAATCATAATTGTATATATGTATCTACGTTGATATTTTCTTTAAAGTCATTTTACGTCAGAGGTAGTGTTAATTAGTACAAAAAGCGTCGTATGCTTTTGTATTCACTTAGTAGGATTGGTTTTGTTAAATATTTGCTTTATGCCTTTCATTTAGTACGACTACTTACCGTAACTGAGATACTTGGCGTATGAAACATGTCCTTATTGGTGGGAAATCTTTGGTAATAGATCGGCAGACAAGCAAAATATTCACACTGTGGAAAGGCCATTGAATGCCATTGCAACTTAAGGCATGCCTGAAGAAGTCATCTGTTTAGTTTGAAGGATGTCACCTTTTTTTTCTCCTACCTATGCTGATGATGCTTGAGAGGCTATTTCAGCTTCACCCTAACATGTGGGTGAGCTCCTTGAGCTCAAACCAGGGTGTTGCTAGCACTGGCCCTAGCAAGAGCAGTGCTTCGCAGAATCTACCACCGGATCGGAAACGCGACCCACTGAGAAGATCCGGCGAGAAACTCAGTGGGCGATGTCAACATCAATTAGGCTACGTATGAGTTTTGTCTTTGACTCCTGTATGCTGAACAAAACAATATTTAATGTACAGCAAAAAAATATACAGGCAGACCACTGCAGTACGATTCGTTACTTTTCATTATTTTAATTGGACAGACCAGATCATAGCTTACTTGTTGTTAAGTGGTTACTGAAGATATTACGACCGGAATAATACCACCCACCTAATATTACGGTTATCCCATGATTCAAAACACGGCAGAAATAGGTGTAAAAATTCATACATTTTGTAGGTTTCTGCTAAACTAAGCTAAGCTGTTACTCTGGATGTCATTGTGAGCACGTGATAGTCATTTACTATGAAAAATTAGTATCTTTTTTCAGGATTCGATTTCAGAATCGATTTGATAGGTCTAGAATCAATCAATTTTCCTGAAAGTGGTATGCAAAGAAAATCATTTTATATAATAATCTATCGTTTTAATTACAGTATTCTGCGTCCAAACAGCAGCCCTGATACCTATAGGTGATATCTTTCTATATGGAAATACTGCGGCATTAGCTTGGATTTTGCCTTCGGATACTGCGATATTTGACTATTTCAAAGAACACGAAAAATTAGAGAGACGAAAGGATGATAAAAAAATCGTGTATCTAGACGAATATGGACGTTATCTGGCTAAAGTGCCTTACACAAGGTAAAGTAACAAAATCTTATTTATACCTTTAAACGAGCAATTCTTGTATATATATAATCTGAATCTCGGAAACGGTTCCAACGATTTTCATAAAATTTAGTATACAGAGGATTTCGGGGGCGATAAATCGATCTAGCTACGATTTATTTTCAGAAAATGTTGTTTTATTCGTGTTTTCATTAATCAACTCTTCCCGACATCTATTGGCGAATAATAATACTATTTTTCTTAATTGAGGGCAACTAACCGCTTTAAAGACACAACAAGATGGCCTTATTTTAAAAAAACGAGCAAATCATCTAGTAACTATAAAAGTTTTTGTTAAATCCAATGGCCGTTTATCGGACATGACATTACCTAATTGCGAGACAAGTACATTACTATGCTTACAAACGGGCTTGAACTCAAACAGATGACCAAACAGGCGTTTATCTAATGAACAAAAAATTCAAAATGAATTTATCCAAATACCTTAAATTTCAGGAGAACCATTGTAAATCCCGCTTTTGCGAAGAGAAGTGTTGATTCAAATAACATGTCATTCAAAGAAAAGCTGAAATCGAGAATAGATAAGAAACAGTTGCATGAAAGACAACTAAACAGAGATTACCTAAAGAAAGAGTTTATGGATGAAATAACAATAGAATATCACAGAAAAAGTCGATTGGAGCTATTACAGAAGTTAGAAAAACTGTATACTGCGTATGTGAAAACTTTTTTACTATCGAGCTAAGATGGAAATCCAAAGTTAAGGACATCACGATGTTAAGCGGTTATCGGAGTTCATAGACTTAATCGCACTTAATTGAGCGCAGTCATTACACGGAGACAAAATATTGATGTTATATGTATATATACACCTATATATTAATAAATAGCTCAAAACCTTTAAATCAGGATTAATAATTGCTTTGAAATGGGTAGAACGATGTCATCCGCCAAGTAGGCTTGAAACCAAGGTAGGCAGCGGCTTGGCTCTGCCCCTGGCATTGCTGAAGTCCATGGGCGACGGTAACCACTCACTATCAGGTGGGCCGTATGCCCGTCTGCCTACAAAGGCAACAAAAAAAAAAAAAACCAACCCAACAATATATTATAGAGATTTTATCCATTTCATACCTGGACAAAGACTTGTGTTTTACAAAGTTCAAGCCTCGCGCGGAGTTCTGCTTCCCATCTATAGGCCGGGGACACCTAATAATGTCCAAAAGTCCATTCTCGTGGACCGTTTGGAACCTCTGAGTCTGCAGAGGGACACACTGTGTTTTGTGGCGTATATTCCACGGCGATTCTTTTTTCGAACTCTCGAGCGAGGCTAAGTTTATCTGGAATAGCTGCGTTCATCTACAGTGCGTTTCCAGAGATCTTTTTTTGCCAAGTACCAACCGGTTTTGGAATGGACACCTCTCTACGGTGTTTCTCGAGCGCTATGACATGTCCTTCTTTGAACAAGGCTTGCGAAGAGTCCTTAGCGGTATGTCACTTGGCTTTACCCCTGCTATTACTGCCATCAAAGAATAACCACCTGGTGGGCCGCATGCTCGTCTGCCTACAAAGCCAATAGTAAAAAGTTCATTTGCTCATCAAGAAAAATAAAAGCTTACACTTTACTCTGTACCTATTTTTCGGAATAATAATATGGTAAGGGGTGAAAAACTATTTAGTTTAAACGAAATTTCGGCCAATACGTGACATTTTTCATTATAATTAAAGGTTTTTGTTTTATTTGGTATCAGCATCAATAGTTCGAAGTTTTTATTTGAACTTCAATTAAGTTTACTTCATTGAAATGGCTGAGTAAGTTATTTTGTTATTCTATTCTATTCTATCAGCCCATGGACGTCCACTGCTGGACATAGACCTCCCCCAAGCCTCGCCACAAAGACCGGTCCTGCGCTGCCTGCATCCAGCGGATATTTTGTTATAACTTTTGTTTTTCAAATTTTAAACTTTAAATAGTTCTCCTGTAAAGTTCCAAAAACTTCGCTCAAACCAAATCGCCTTTCACCCCTCGATATATTATATATAAAATATAGATATTATCAAAGACTGAGACAGCATATAAATTTGTCGTCATAATCACTTCCCTATCCAGTAGAAGTTAAACTTTTAAAACTTCTCCAGACTCATACCAGTAAATTCTGTTCGCAGACTCGGGAGAAACGGCCGACAATGCGTGCTTCACAAACTATGCGAATCAGCAAAGAGCTCTTCAACACAGGGAACATTCCTTCAAGAATTCCTCAGGGTTATCTACACGTAAGTTTCTATGTATCATAACAATATATATAACAGGATATTTAAACATAGCGTCTTTTAACGATACACACTTTAATACATAAGGTACTAAATAATCCACACTTCCGAAACCCTGTTACGAGAACTGTTTAAAAGCTGAATCTGATTAAATTCAAAGATTTTTGATAATAATACAGAATTTGGTTAATGTTATAACGTATAGTTTGTTTGCATAGAGTAATGGTCTCTAAAACAATACGAGTAATGACCAATCTATATATATAAAAATGACTTGCTGTTCGTTAGTCTCGCTAAAACTTGAGAACGGCTGGACCGATTTGGCTAATTTTGAACTTGAATTATTTGTGAAAGTCCAGAGAAGGTTTAAAAGGTTTAGATAAATATGAAAATGCTCGGAATTAAATAAAAATAACAATTTTGTTTTTCCTTTGATGTGTCAGCCGTCGGATTCCTTTTGTTTGTTTTAAGTTTATGTTATACAAAAGTTTGTCTTTTATTTATCGATTGAGGCTCTACTAAGTCTGCCGGGTCTAGTCTATTACAAATGTCCATTTGAAGTGACAAGTCCTCGTATTACACTCAGTAGAATGATGTTTGCGTTAAGTGATAGGGAAAATGTCATATTTAAATGTTACAATAGTTTCAACAAGCTTTCAAATTGATTAATGATGAATACCATAGCGTACCAATCAATGATAGAAGTTAAGGATTCCAGACTTCTAAGCAAAGGGACTCGCTATTACTGACCAGAAATATTTGAAGGCGTTTGGGATGAAGTGCATCTATCTAAATGTATTAAATAAAAAAATTAGGATAAAACGTACAGTCCACTCAAGCGACGTGAATGCGTCGAAGTTCTAGTTTGGCACCCAAATACAATTTTTCCTAAGAAAATCTGCACTAATACATGACATGCTAGTTATCGGTTAACAAAAGTGAAATCTTATAAATTTATTAGAAACAAACTTACTAAACACTTAGAAAAAGTCCGTACGGTACGGGCATTAGCATCAGCTGGTCTCTAATGTTTTTTTTTGTTTTTTCCTTACCTATTTGCTGGTAGTCTACGAGGCTATTTCAGCTACGCCCGGACGGGTATGTGAGCTCACGGGCTCAACCTGAGAGAATTTGCTATCACTAGTCCTAGCAAGAGCAGTGCTTCGCAAAATCTACTACTGGATCGAAATCGCGACCCACTGAGAAGATCCGGCGAGAAACTCAATGGGCTGTGCCTATGGGTTAGTTCGCTCGTCGATTGCGACGAAGAGTTCGACGAGAACGATGACGTTCTCTAGTAAACGGTAATTGTTGGTGTGGTACTACTGTACAGGTCACAGAGTTATGGCATATGTATATCTTCTAGTCGTCAATACATCACCACCATAATAAATGTGTAACAGATACATACGTATCAGTTCAATACGTACTTAGACCAAAACATTTTGCATTCTGGTGCTTAGATCTATAATAAGATACACCAGAATAATTAGACTACTAACAAGATCTCACTTATTTTATTCATACGACTATATGCGAATAATTGGAAAGATCGAAAAGTTTATGTACTTTAACTAAAAATTTAGCACGAAAGCATTAAAAGGTGTAAATACATACGGGGAAAATACTTAACGTTCATAATAAATGCTTTGATGTTAGAGAGTTCAAATAAATCTTCACATGAATCATATCATTTGGCTTAAGAATACGTCCTTTGAGTGGAATATTTTCCTTGTATCGTAAGGATACCGTTCTTTTCATCTCACATATTTCAAAGCAAATTAATTGGAAAGTAAAATATTTGAGGCTTTAGGTTTACGTGTACATTCATCATACATTATTATTTATTTACTGGATCATTCTTATTTGGGTCGGAAGGAAGTTCTTAGGACGTTTTTATGCTATGCTCGGATTTTTGGGTGGCGTTAGTCGAGCTGCACTGTAGCCTTCCTTGCTTTTTTTAATTTTATTTTTTCGGGCCGGTTGTCGAACCGCCTACGAGGTCCCCGCGCCTAAGGGGCGCGCGGGGTATGTGGGACTTGACTATCTGAAAGGTGTTGGGAGCAGACCGCGGGCCCAAGGAATTTTAGGGGACTACCCACTAAACGACTCCCCTGCACTCTTCGCCCAAGCGTCCGATCCCCTCCGAGGTTAGAACCCGGATGAGGTAGGGGAGTTACCGTCACCAGGAGGACGGGACGGCGCGTCGGCGGCTGCGGACTGCGATGCGGTCCGCATTTTCGTCGTCGCTGTCGTCGCCGAACATACTGTTGAAGAGCAACCCGGTCGGCGGTGTATCGCGTTCCGACCCGGCAGGCTGGTTCTGGCCCAGCGGGGTATCCCGGAACACCAGCGGCACCGCCCGGGCGGCCTGGTAGGGCCGCCGTACCGNTGTATGCCGATAACGTCCGCTTCTTTCCACACCGCGGGAAAGATACAGTTCGCCATAGCGGCATTGAAAATAGATGCCAACATCACGATGAGTTGGACGGGTAGAAGTTTAATAACGCGGTTGGATATACCGTCGGAACCGGGAGCCTTGCGAGGACGTAGGTCTTTGATCAAGTCTTTAACTTCCATCGGGGTGACGACTTTTTTACTATCGAGCTAAGATGGAAATCCAAAGTTAAGGACATCACCATGTTAAGCGGTTATCGGAGTTCATAGACTTAATCGCACTTAATTGAGCGCAGTCATTACACGGAGACAAAATATTGATGTTATATGTATATATACACCTATATATTAATAAATAGCTAAAAACCTTTAAATCAGGATTAGTAATAATTGCAAATTTTAATAATTGCTTTGAAATGGGTAGAACGATGTCATCCACCAAGTAGGCTTGAAACCAACTCAACAATATATTATAGAGATTTTATCCATTTCATACCTGGACAAAGACTTGTGTTTTACAAAGTACAAGCCTCGCGCGGAGTCCTGCTTCCAATCTATGGGCCGGGGACACCTAATAATGTCCAAAAGTCCATTCTCGTGGACCGTTTGGAACCTCTGAGTCTGCAGAGGAACATTATCTCACACTGTGTTTTGTGGCGTATATTCCACGGCGATTCTTTTTTTGAATTCTCGAGCGAGGCTAAGTTTATCTGGAATAGCTGCGTTCATCTACAGTGCGTTTCCAGAGATCTTTTTTTGCCAAGTACCAACCGGTTTTGGAATGGACACCCCTCTACGGTGTTTCTTGAGCACTATGACATGTCCTTCTTTGAACAAAGTTTGCGAAGAGTACTCAGCGGTATGTCACTTGACTTTACCCCTGCTATTACTGACGTCAAAGAATAACCATCTGGTGGGCCGCATGCTCGTCTGCCTACAAAGTCAATAATAAAAAGCTCATTTGCTGATCATGCAAAATAAAAGCTTACAATTTACTCTGTACTTATTTTTCGGAATAATAATATGGAAAGGGGTGAAAAACTATTCAGTTTAAACGAAATTTCGGCCAATACGTGACATTTATCATTATAATTAAAGGTTTTTGTTTTATTTGGTATCAGCATCAATAGTTCGAAGTTTTTATTTGAACTTCAATTAAGTTTACTTCATTGAAATGGCTGAGTAAGTTATTTTGTTATTCTATTCTATTCTATCAGCCCATGGACGTCCACTGCTGGACATAGGCCTCCCCCAAGCCTCGCCACAAAGACCCGTCCTGCGCTGCCTGCATCCCGCGGATATTTTTTTATAAGTTTTGTTTTTCAAATTTTAAACTTTAAATAGTTCTCCTGTAAAGTTCCAAAAACTTCGCTCAAACCAAATCGCCTTTCACCCCTCGATATATTATATTGTATAAAATATAGATATTATCAAAGACTGAGACAGCATATGAATTTGTCGTCATAATCACTACCCTATCCAGTAGAAGTTAAACTTTTAAAACTTCTCCAGACTCATACCAGTAAATTCTGTTCGCAGACTCGGGAGAAACGGCCGACAATGCGTGCTTCACAAACTATGCGAATCAGCAAAGAGCTCTTCAACACAGGGAACATTCCTTCAAGAATTTCTCAGGGTTATCTACACGTAAGTTTCTATGTATCATAACATTATATATAACAGTATATTTATACATAGCGTCTTTTAACGATATACACTTTTTATACATAAGGTACCAAATAGGCCACATTTTCGAGACCCTGTTACAAGAACTGTTTAAAAGCTGAATCTGATTAAATTCAATGATTTTGATGATAATGCAGAATTTGGTTAATATTATATACTAGGTGACCCGGCAAACTTTGTTCTGCCTTAGAGGCAATAAATGAGCAGACTTTTGATTTTATCATGGTCAATTTCTTATTTGGATAATTAATATAAATTAAAATAGCAAGTATTTTAATGATAATTTATTGGCCATGTATTTTGGCTGGTATTATTATTATGGTATTTTCTTGTTCTTCTTCAGTCCTTTCACTCGCAATGTTTCGAATCCTAGTAACATTATGGGTTCGTCGGGAAAGATTTGATAGTGCTGGTCGCGGCATGGCTTTCTTAATGATTACCTATTTCGGTACAATAAATAGAAATTTGAAACAAACACATCAACCAGTCAACTTCAAAATTCTACTATAATTAGCCATAGACTACATCACGTTTAGCTGTCAGTTGCATTTTATTATTCCATATCAGTTGCGTTTTTTTATACCACGTTTTATGTCGCGTCCCACGGGAGCGTGATAAAAAGTATCCTATGTCCTTCTGCTGGTTCTAAGCTACCTCCCCACCAATTTTCAGCATAATCAGTTCAGCCGTTCAGAGTTATAAATAGTGTAACTAACACGACTATCTTTTATATATATAGATTTAGGATCGGTATAGTTTGTTTGCATAAAGAAAAAGTCTCTAATAATTTCCAATCAATTATAAGGGACAATTTGAAGTGCCAAGTATCACACGGTAGAATGATGTTTGAGTTAATTAGTGACAGGGTAAATGTCATATTTAAATGTTTCATCAACAGTAAAGCTTTCAAATTGATTCAA